TACTGGCTGCGGCTGGTGGTGTGGACGGTGTTGACTTTGCGTGCTGCGGTGTGGCCGATTGTGTTGGCACAATCACGTTTACGCTTGCATACGTGGGCGCTGACTGGGAGAGCAACCTGACGAAGAGCTTCATCCTCGCGCTTGCGGCCAACGTGTTCCACGCACTCGGGCTGCTGCTCGGGGCGGCGATTCCGGACCCCGCGGCAGCCGTTGCCGTGGTGACTGTTGTTGTGCAGGCGATGCTGATGATGGCTGGGTTCTACCGCACGCTGCCCGACGCGATCCAGTGGCTGCCGAGCGTGATTGGCATCCCGTACTACATCCTGACGGCGCTCATGCGCACGGAGTTCTCTGCCAACGACTCGTACCGCTGCCATCCGTCGAGGGCGAGCAGCGCCGTGGGTCCGCACGACTGCTACATCGAGACCAACCTGCTGACGGAGGACTACCGGCAGCGCAACATCCTGTTTGTGCAGTCACCGGAGGCACACGATCCCTCTGAGTGGGCGCTTGTGCTGCCGCTGGTGCTGTTCTACATTGGCATTCGCATTCTTGGCGCCATCATCCTGCTCCTTCGCATTCGCCGCAAGTTCCGCCTCCACGCTCAGCAGAAGCTGCCCTCGGACCATCGGCGCAGCAGCACGCATGCGAGCAGCGGTGCTGCGCCCGTGCGTCGCGAGCCAGAGACCAAGGCGCTCATCTCGTGTACTCACAGCAATGGCACGGCGACGGAAAACGGCCACTGCACCAAGCAGCGCCCCAGCCACCACCAGCGTCGCGCGTCCCAGAAGCAGCTGCTCCTGGAGGATGAAGCGAATGGGGACGCAATGGACGGGTTTAGCGGCCCGCACACGGACGTGTCGACCGTGTAGTGACAGTGTGACATGACAGGTGGAAGGGAGGAGGAGGACGAGGAGGACGAGAAGTGAAAAGGATGTGTGTTTGGTTGCGAGGCAGGGCAGTAAGGTGCCTTGGACGTCTTGTGTGTGTGTGTGTGTGTGTGCATGCGTGCGTATGTGCATGTGCGCGCGTGTGCATGTGCGCGCGTGCGTATGTGCATGTGCGCGCGTGTGCACGTGTAGGTGTGTGTGAGAGCAGGCGCCACATAGATAAAAAGAAAAGTAAATCAATAGATCGATAGAAACCAAGTGCCTCGGTGCGAGGCTCATGTGCAGTGCTGCGACTGTCGCTTAGACAGTTGCAGGGGGCTCTGTTGCGGCCGGGCCACCGGGGCTACGTGAGGTCACTGGGGCGCTGTGTGGCTGTCCCTCATCGTTGTCGGTGGTGGCGGTGGCGGCGGTGGCAGCAGTGCCGTCGTTGCTGTCATTGCTGCGCTGGCCGCTGTGGCCGGGGGGTGTGTTCTGCGGATGCTTGCGCTTGCGGGTGCGCTTGCCCTGTTGGTGGTTGCGCTGGGCTTGAGCGCGCGCCCGCTGCACCGTCTGGGTGCTCTGGCGGGGAGTGTGTGCGTCTCCCGCCCGGACCGAGCCCGGCTGGTTTTGTGTTGTTGTTTGAAAATGATACACTGGCACAACTCCAGACAGAAGAGAGTGAAGAGCACTCTTATTTGTCGCGATGCAAGCAAACCAAACAAAACGCCACAACTACAAGCCAAAGCCTCTTGTCCCCCTCCTGCTCTCCTGACCATGCACTGGCAGCTCTATCGCGCATCACTTCTCAACTTCCATCATGTATGGTGGTCTCGCATCATGCTGTGCATTGAGTTTGGGGCAGGTACCAAGCATGTTGAAAGCAAGTAGGCGCGGGAGTGGTGGAACTGGTCTGCGAAGCACGCACTCTTTGCAAGGACATGCACATGAACTGGCCGCTTCACAGATCAACGCGTTGCTGTTGCTGCTGCTGCTGCTGTGGTTGTGGCTTGTCTTGAGCGCCGTCGTGGACTTGAAGGATGATTTTGCCCGTGTTCTTGTTCTCCTCCAGGAATGTGTGCGAGTCGGCCACTTGGTCCAGCGGAAACACCTTCGCAATCGACACCCTGCACAGGTAGCATGGCGTTTCGTTGACCACACAAAGCGGTAGCGTGGGCAAGGAGACAATGAACTGAAGGCTGTGTGTGTGCGTTTGTGCTTGTGTGCGTGCGTGTGTGTGTGTGTGTGTGTGTGTGTGTGTGTGTGTGTGTGTGTGTGTGTGTGTGTGTGTGTGTGTGTGTGTGTGTGTGTGTGTGTGTGTTGAGAACAAAGGAAGGACGCGTGTGCAAGTTGTCGTAAAGAAGGGAAACAAGTAATTTAAACTCACTTGAACTGGCCTGATGAGAACTTTGGCAAGCTGGTTTGCGTAAACTGGGAAATGAGACGGCGCTTGTAGTCGAGGGAACGCGTGCGCAGGGTGGTCCCAACCAGCGTCACCCGCTTCTTTAGCAGGCTGTGCGTGTGTGTGCGTGCGAGTGATTGAGTGAGCGTGTGTGTGTGTGTGTGTATGTGCGAGTGTGCGAGTGAGTGAGAGCGTGTGTTTGACGCGTGTAGTTGTGAATACGTAGGCAAAGCACCGACGAGAGTGAACAGAGTGCCTGAACGACCACATGCGGTTGACCAAGCCAACAAGCGATCTCACGTGCGGAAGAGGGGTCCATCAATATCTGCGCCGCCCATGAGCGCGTAGAGGACCCATGTGCCGTCCAGGGCAACAGCCTGTGCGTTCTGCTCCCAGTAGGACCCGGCAACACAGTCAAGCACGAGGTTGAACCCCTTGCCTGCGATGGAGTGCGGGGTACAGTGACGCGAGGGTGCGGAAATACATATTACTTGGCAAAGCAGATGCAAGCACATGCACCAACTGAAAAAAAAAAAAAAAAGGTAGCACATATATTCGTGGAAACACACACACACACACACACACACACACACACACACACACACACACACACACACACACACACACACACACACACACACACACACACAAACAAACGCACACACACACAAAAAGAAAAACACAAACAAACGCACACGCGCACACACACACACACAAAACATAAACACACACACACACACACACACACACACACACACACACACACACACACACACACACACACACACACACACACACACACACACACACACACACACACACACTGACCGTCTGTGAACTTGAGGGCCGTGTCGATCCACGGGCCCTCGTGGCGATTTGCGCCCCCAACAGCGCCGAGTGCGACGGCACTGGCCAATTTCTCCGGACTGCCGACTGTGACGACAGGGATGGCGCCAGCAGCCACCGTCAACTGCACGGCTATGCATACAGCAGGTGTACATGTGCATTTGGGGGGGGGGAGGGGGTTTGGAGAGAATAAGCGGGGACAGGAGGGTGTGTGGCTGCGAGTGAACGTCGGGAGAAGCACAAACACACAAACACACAGACACACAAACACAAACACACAGACACACAGACACACAGACACATAGACACAGACACACAGACACAGGCACACACACCTGCAAGGCCAACACCAGAGGCGCCAGCGTGGATGAGAACGTAGTCGCCCTTCTTGACGGAGCCAACAAAGTGCAGCAGCTGGTACGCTGTCAACCAGCCCTGGTACATTTGGGGGGGGGGGAAGGTGACGGTTTGTGGCAACAGCACACATTTGAGTGAGCGGTAATGGACCAAACGAGCAGCATGATGATATGCACCCACAACAATACAGACACACAAGCAACACACACGCATACACGCACACACGCACAACTGGTTCATACTTCGGGGATTGCAGCACCCTCGACAAAGGAGAATCCGGAAGGAAGTGGCATGAGTTGCCCTTCTGGCACAGTGCAGTACTCGGCATAGCCGCCACCTGAATCCAAACATGGCACGGGCGTGTGCGTGTGCGTGCGTGTGCGTGCGTGTGTGTGTGTGTGTAAGATGCGATGGTAGCAGGAATGTGCATTGCAGGTGTGCGTGTTGGTCGCTGTCGTACACATCCAAACTTACGCACACACACACACACAGACACAGGCAGACGCACACACACACAGACACAGGCAGACGCACAGAGACACTCGCACACACACACACACACACACACACACACCTGCGAGCAGGGCGATGACGGGATCGCCAACCTTGAACTTGGAAGAGCAGCCTTCGCCAACAATTTCAACGACACCAGCTAATGTGGTGTGACACAAACGACATGCGCCAACACAGGAGACAGGGTGAGTATCTTGAGGAATCGTACAGTGGCGGGGCGCCGCAAAACACGTTTGACGACATGGCCATCCACGGGCATGCACACGAACATGCTTCGAGGCCGATGATCTCGGAGCTGCCAGCTGGGGGCGGATACCATCCTTGGCGCTGGAGCGTGTCTGCACGGTTGACGGCTGTCGCCATGACCTTGATCAGGACCTGTGAAAAGGGACATGATGTGGCAATGTGGGGGTTGCGTCACCGATCCTGTGTGCTTACCCTAGGGCATCATTGCCTCCTGCAAGAAGGCAGCACAAAACCACACACGATTACACACACACACACACACGTTTACACACACACACACACACAAGTTTACACACACACACACACAAGTTTACACACACACACAAGTTTACATACACACACGTTGACACACACACACACACACACACGTTGACACACACACACACACACACACACGTTTACACACACACACACACGTTTACACACACACACACACACACACACACACACACACACACACACACACACACACACACAAACCTCGCCCTGGCCCGGCTTGGGACGCGAAACGGATCCAACACTCATGGTCTGCGGACCACCCGTCTCTGTCTGCACGACAGCTCGCATCGTTGTGGCAGCGCCGTCAGCCATGTTCAGCACACCCTCACAAGAACCTGCACAGCAGACAAGAAGCACAAGCACACAGAACGAGAACGAGGCAGCGGCTGTCCTCCACAAACAAGCCATTTGCGGAAAATTAATAGAAGACTTTATCAATTTTCGCTGACAGCCAATGAAGCGAGCAAAGCAGCCAAGCAGCCAACCTTTCCTCCCTTGTCCTTCTCTCTCTCCTTCTCTCTCTGAAGTCTCTTGCCCTTGCCTGCAGGCACGATCTTGTGACGATGAGCTGGCGACCTTGGTGTGTGGCACACCGCGCGATCGCTGTCATGTGCGTGGTGGCGGGCGTTGTTCTGTTGGGTGGTGGTATGATCGACGCGGTAAACGCAGAAGCAAGCACAGGCAAAGCTGTCCTTGTGCAGAATGAGGCCGGTGATGTGCACTTGAACACGAGCGATCCACGGCAGCGCGTGCTGCTCAACGGCTTGGACGTGCACGCTGAACTGCAGCGCCTGAACCTGTGGAACCACCGCTTGCACACTGGCGTGTGCTTCATCCGAAACGGCGGCGTGTTTCTGGATGCACAGACACTGAGCGGCCTCCCGCCTGGTGTGGACAAGTGGCGTCGGGGCGTCCGGGCCAGGAACGGCAAAATCTACGGCATCCCACGCGCTGCGACTGCCGTGTTGATCATCGACCCCGCGAGCAACACATATGACATCACCACAATGACCGGGTTCGCCACAGACGTTTACAAGTGGGCCGACGGCGTCCTTGCAGGGAATGGCAAGATCTACTGCATCCCAGAACAGACGACGATGGTGCTGGTGATTGACCCGAAATACGACGTGTTCGACGCGAGCACCATCAGCGTGGCAGGGTATCTTGTCTCTGGTGAAAGCGGCAACTGGGAGGCGGCCGTTCTGGCGGACAATGGCAAGATCTATGCCGTCCCCAACACGAACACCCATGTGCTGGTGATCAACCCAGACACCAACACCACGTCCACGATTGCAGTAAACGGTGCCGACAACACGAATTACAAGTGGTTTGGCGCCGTGCTTGCACGCAATGGCAAGATCTATGGTATTCCGTATCGTGCCACGTCCATCCTCATCACGGACTCTGCGGACGCAACCACCCTCACCTTGGACGGCAACACCGGTGGCGGAATGGGTGACAACGGCCCATCCAGCGACTTTGATTTTGGCTGGGCTGGCGGCGTTCTGGCGCAGAACGGCCTCATCTATGGCATCCGCACAACGCGGGTGCACTGCTCATCATCGACCCGAACCAAAACACGGTTGTCATCCGCACAGACAGCACGCTCTACGGCACTGAAAAGTGGGCTGGCGGCGTGGTCGTGGACGATGGCCGCATCCTGGGCGTGCCCTTTTCGGCCAGTAGCGTGCTGACCATTCAGCCCACAACAAACAGCGTTGGGCTCGTCACCAGTGCTGCTTCCTTCGACAGCACTGTCATGGGGGCCAGGTGGTTTGGCGGTGTTGAGGCCGAAGACGGCCGCATCTTCGCCATCCCGGCAGCTGCCACGTCCATCCTCGTCATCGACCCGCTCTGCATGTCCACATAGCAAGCAGCTGAAGCAATGTCGCTTTTGTGTGCTGGTGTAGGGACTTGCGCACGTGTGTATTGTGTCTGCGTGCTTGTGTGAGTGCGTGTGTCTGTGAGTTTGTAATTTCTGTAAGTAGGTAAGTGCTTTAGTGGGTGTGTTCTTTTTCTTTTGTTCTTTTGTGTTTCAGAACTTCTGGCTGACCTTGCTTGGCCGTGTGGGGGTTGAGTGTGGGTGAAGCGCATCATTGGAGAATGAGGATGAGGATGAGGATGCGGGACAAGGGACGACGTGGGGTCTTGAGGTCTTGAGCTTCCTCTCTTCATAGCTTCATGCTTTGTTTCTTGTCTTGCTTGCTTGCTTGCCTTGTTGCTTACCTTTGATTGTGGAGAATTGGTGGACATTTTCGCACAAGTATCGGCACGAGAGCAACAGTGATGACTGCGCTGGCATTGGCGGAAGTGGGAACGCGGTTGGCGCTGGTTGACACGCCAGCGCTGGTTGTCGTGCAACCGTGAGTTGTGGTTGTGGTTGGTAGTGTGGTTGCAGGGATGAATGTGGGGGTAGCTGTCTGCTGCTGTACCGGTTGACGTGCATTTCTCGAGTCGGGGTTGTTTCTCTCGGCAATGCACCGTGCCGCTGCTCACTGACTGACTCGTGCTCGCTTCGTGTGCTCGCTTCGTGTGCTCGCTTCATGTGCTCGCTTCGTGTGCTCGCTTCATGTGCTCGCTTCGTGTGCTCGCTTCGTGTGCTCGCTTCGTGTGATGAAGAAAGCTGGATGCCAACCTGCAGCGAATGCGTACTGCGCTGCAGCAGTTCCCACACATCACACTGCGCCCCCATTTGAAGGCGCACAAGAGCAGCTACTTTGCCAACGCACAAGCAGCAGCCGGTGTCGTGAGTTGATGTGAACACCATTCCACAATGTGTGTGTGTGTGTGTGTGTGTGTGTGTGTGTGTGTGTGTGTGTGTGTGTGTGTGTGTTGGAAGCAGGACAGGAAGGCAGTGCATCTGCCATGTGAATGCTTCGCGTGTGGTGTTTTGATCGGATGTGTCTTGGTTCACTGTTATCTTTGCTGTTATATTTTCGCCCTTGTCTTTTGCACTGCAGTCCGCATGGTGCTGTCAGAAGTTGCAGGAGGCAGAGGGCATCCTTCCCAAAGTCCCAGGTAACAGGCGAGGCAGCGGCTGTCGCTGTAGCTAATGTGGCTGTAGGCGTGATGGTATGGTGTGGGTGTGGGTGATCACCTGGTGTGCGTGTGCGTGTGTGTGTGTGTGACAAATTTGTATGGCTTGCGCGGTTGCTGTTCACGACATTAGCTGCGTCAACCCCTAACTGGTGTTGTCTGTAGGCATGCGGGACTTGCTCATCACCAACGAAATCGTGGGCAAGCGCAAAGTCGAGCGCCTGATGTCCCTGGTAAGTGAGTGCAAGCGTGCTTGTACCCGAGTGTGCGACTGTCTTTCATGCGAGTGCGTGCTTAACCCATGAGCAGGCACTTTCAATGCTGGTAATATGCGTCTTCCGTTGCATCCGTTCACGCACAAGCTAATATGAGGCGATTGCATGGGTGCAGGTGAAGGAGCACCATGCACGGACAAAGATCACCGTGTTGGTGGACGACGTGGATAACTGCCGCGCCCTCAATGCAGCCATGGCCAACGCCAGCCTGGACGACGCAAAGCTGCACGTGCTCGCAGAGGTTGATGTGGGGCAGGAGCGCTGTGGTGTTGCGCCTGGCAGCGAAGACTTGGTTGCACTTGCCCGTGTCGTCACAGAGGAATGCCCTCATCTCCACTGGTCCGGCATCCAGTGCTATCAGGTGTGTGTGTGTGTGTGTGTGTGTGTGTGTGTGTGTGTGTGAGTGTGTGTGTGTGAGTGTGAGTGTGTGTGTGTGTGTGTGTGTGTGTGTGACAAAGGCGTTGTTGTACCTTTCGCCTGCACTGTCACGTATGCACTACGCGCGCCTCAACTTCGCATACTTCCGCCCCCCCCCCCGGCCCCGGCACATACAACACTGCCGCTCCATCGCAAACACCAACACGCCAGGGCAAGCTGCAGCACGTGCGCAACTACGAAGAGAAGCGACAGCTTGTGAATGGTGTGGCCGCCAAGGCCGACGCCAGTCGAACTGTTCTTGAGGAGAACGGGTTCCCCTGCCCCATCATCAGCGGTAAGCGTTGTGTTGTGTTGTGTTGTGTTGTGTTGTGTAGTGTAGTGTAGTGTAGTGTAGTGTAGTGTAGTGTAGTGTAGTGTTGTGTTGTGTTGTGTTGTGTAGTGTAGTGTAGTGTAGTGTAGTGTAGTGTAGTGTAGTGTAGTGTAGTGTAGTGTTGTGTTGTTGTGTTGTGTGTATGTGTTGTGTGTATGTGTTGTGTGTATGTGTGTATCTGTATATGTATGCATGTGTGTGTGTGTGTGCCTTGCACATGCTCAACACCACCGATGCCACTGAATACGATCCAAGCAACGCCCTCGCCAACCCGTTTCTCGAATCGGCAACACCAGGGGGTGGTACGGGCACGTTTGTGTTGGAGGCTCAGGCGGGCGTGCACAACGAATGCCAGCCGGGCTCATATGTGTTCATGGATGTCGACTACTCTAAGAACCTCGACCAGGTGTGAACATCTGCACATATGTGTGTGCGTGTGCGTGTGTGTTTGCATGCGTGTATGTGCGTGCTTCATTGCGGAGTGCAGTCCAAGTGAGGATGGTTTGCATGCTTGCTTGTGCTTGCATGTTTGTGCCGTGTGCAGTTGAGTCGCGCGTGTGGCGCCTTCTCGGTCGCTGTTTGCACCAACGTCCACCGTCCTGACATGCACGTGCGCTGCACGGTATGCTGATCGCGCCATGCAGAGCGGACAGCTGACAACGGATTTCGAGCACAGCCTGTTTGTGCACACGACCATCATGTCCAAACCAACAGCAACGCGTCTGGTGGTTGATGCGGGAATGAAGGTACAGCCATGACGCTTTCGTCTGTAACCGCGTGTACGTGTGTGTGTGTGTGTGTGTGTGTGTGTGTGTGTGTGTGTGTGTGTGTGTGTGTGTGTGTGTGTGTGTGTGTGTGTGTGTGTGTGTGTGTGTGTGTGTGTGTGTGTGTGTGTGTGTGTGTGTGTGTGTGTCATCGCGAACCACACCACCATCATCATCACCACCATCACCACCGTCATCACCATCACCACCTCCACCACCAGGCCGTCTCGCTTGACTCGGGACCGCCAATTGTTGTTGCGCTGCACGATGACGGCTCGTTCACGTCATGCGCCGAAGAGGTCGCCTGGGACGCTCGAGGGAGGGGAAAGAGCGTGGTGTGTGTGTGTGTGTGTCTGTGTCTGTGTGTGTGTCTGTGTGTGTGTCTGTGTCTGTGTCTGTGTGTGTCTGTGTGTGTGTGTCTGTGTGTGTCTGTGTGTGTGTGTGTGATAAACGGGGCTATGCAGGGGTGAGTCTGACTTGGCGTCTCCATGTGCTGTCAGGTCCCGAGCCAGTGGTGCGAAATTCGGCGAACCGAGAGGGCCTAAAACCCAAGCCATCAAGCATCCTCAAGCATTGGGAAGTGGCTTGGGTTTTTTAGGTTTCCACGCTACACGGGCCGGGATTGAAAGTCCGTTGCCTGGGCTCATGGGGGCTGCCCGAACGACCGGGAATCATGCATAATTTCCGAAAGTTACGTCCGTTTGGGTCTTACCCACACCAACCAAAAACCTAAAGCGTAGGGATCGTTATGTACTAGGAAAGCTCTAAACCGCGACCTAAGCTAGATCCCGCCGGAGTGGTGCTAACAAGAGGGACGCGAAAGATGCTTTAACACAAGTCACCATTGGACCTATGTTCTGCTGCATAGCCATCCCCGAAACCCAAAAATTAAGGACCTCGTGCATAACTTTAAATTAATTACTACATGTTAGGATCCACGGGAAATTATGTTTGAGAACAAAGAGGTGGTCCCCATTCCTGAGCCAATTCCTCTATAACACTAGCTCAGAAAGGACAGCATCGCTAGTGCAGGAAAAATCGCTACCTTGTCGGCGTCAGTGTGCATAGGCCCTCACGTCACTTGACACCTCCGGACAGAACTCCGATGGCAGTCCGTCTAAGAACCCAAAGTAACACCCTGTCACTGTACTTATTCAACATCCAGTGGTCCCGCACGCACACACACACACGCACACACACACACACACACACACACACTCACACACACACACTCACACACACACACAATCTAGGTTGGGGACACACTGCAGCTGATTCCTGGGCACTGTGACCCGACTGTGAACCTCTACGACCAATATGTTGTCATCGCCGATGGCGTCGTGACGGCGCTCCCGCCCATCGAAGGCCGGGGACCAGGCGTGTGATCATGATCATGATGATGATGGTGGTGGAACGTTGCTCCTTTTATTGCCGTCCTTTGTTTGTATGCGTGTGGCTTTGTGGGTGCGCTGCGCTGTTTGGTGTTCTCTCCCTTCAAGTGTCACATTGAAGAATAGCACGTGTCAGACGTGCCACCACAATGTTGTAAAACGATTCACTCCAGGGACACATGGACGAGTGAGTAACATCGCCTCTGTCGAAAACAGCTGGCGCAAGCAAGCAAGCAACAAAGCAAAGAGCACAAACAAACAAACAAACAAACAAACAAACAAACAAACAAACAAACAAACAAACAAGCAAGCAAACAAACAAACAAGCAAACAAGCAAACAAACAAACAAACACACATCACATCACAATCGTGCAAGCGCTGCCTATGAAATGAGCTTGTCGTGGAACTCGGTGGGAACGGAGGCGAGAAGACCCTTCGTCTCCAGCCAGGACCTGTTGAACAGGCGCGTTGCGTAGCGCTGTGGGGGGGGGGGTGATCGTGGTGTGGAGTTGATGTTGACAATTAGAAAGAGCGAGAAATGCGGCGCGCATGCCCACACCCACACACCCACACCCACACCCCCCACATCCCCACACCCACAGACACACACACGCCCACAGACACACACACACACACACAGACACACACACACCCACAGACACACACACACAGACACACACACACACAGACACACACACACAGACACACACACACACACAGACACACACCAGGCCGTTGTCACAGAGGAGGGAGACGACGGTGTGGCCGGGGCCCATCTGTTGCGCAACTTCAATCGCCGCCGCAACGTTTAGTCCGCTCGATGCGCCAACGCAGAAGCCTTCCTCATACAGCAGCCGCATCGCCTGCACAACGTACATACGTGTGCGTGTGTTTGGGGGAGGGGAGGTGTCAGCAGGGTAGGTGGTGTGCAAGACGAGTGGATTTAAGATTGAGGGTGATGAATGTGATTCGTATAATTATAGCAGTTCGCACAGGAACGCGTTCGCCCGAGAAGAAGCGAGATGCGTGGAAGCAACGACACGTGCACACGGCCCCGCACCACTTCGACGGATTTCTCGTCCGGCATGTGAATTGCGTAATCGACGGGCGCACCCTCCATGTTCGCAGTCACGCGGCCTTGGCCAATGCCTGCAGGCAATCAAAAAGACAGACAAAAATGAGTCCCTCAGAGGCAGAGGGCATGTTCTCTGTCGTTATCCTCCAATCTTCGGCCAGACGCCGTCCGCATGCACACACAGCGGACACACACGCACACACACACACACACGCACACACACACACACACATGCACATGCACGTGCACACACACATGCACATGCACATGCACGTGCACACACACACACACATGCACATGCACATGTGCACATGTCGGAGTGCTCACCTTCCGTGATGGATCCTGTGCCCTCACGCTCCAGCACACCGCGCTGGAAGAAGTTGTACAGGACGCTGCCCGGTGGGTCGGCAAGCACAATCTTCGCCATGGTGGTGGTGGTGGTGGTGGTCGTGGTGGTGAGGAAAGCGGTCACATGCACCACCAACGTCATCATTGCAGCCAATGTCACCGCCATGACCACCACCACCCCCGCACGGTATCACAACACCAAATATGACGAGTCATCACCATCACAGCTGTTGCAATGCCGCAGCTCACCTGCACGTTTGGGTTCATCTCTTTGAGAAACATGCCCGTGCCCGCGAGCGTGCCGCCCGTGCCCGTCGCACACGTGAACGCGTCAACACGGCCCTCTGTGGGGATGGAGGAGAAGAAAATTGAGCGAGGGAGGACACGTGTGCCACGTGTACATCCATTCAGAGTACAAAGCGCGCATACACACACACACACGTTCAACACGCACACGTATTCACACACACACACACACACACACACACACACACACACACACACACACACACACACACACACACACACACGTATTCACACATACACACACACACATGCCACGGCACCTGTTTGGTGCCAGATTTCGGGACCCGTCGTGTGGTAGTGGGCATCGCGGTTGGCGGTGTTGTCAAACTGATGGCATGGAACAGCACGGATTGGATTGGGAGAGGGGAAGTGCAGGGGCGTCACGCGTGGTGATTGGACCATGAGCACCTGTACGTGGTGTGGTGTCTTGGGTGTGGACATTCTCTCTACCAAACATACATACGCGCAAAAGAGATGTAGACACACTCTCAGACAACAACCACGATAATTGGTTTTCACACATTACACACACATAACAGACACACACACACATAACAGACACACACACACACAAAAGATATGCTTGCTTGTAGGCACCTGGTTGGTCCAAACAGCGTTGTCGAGCTCCTCTGAAAATCGCCGCGCCTGCACCCAGCAGGCGGCCGAGGTCGTGTTCGAGTGAGTTGGGGACACACATGGAGAGAGAGAGAGAGAGAGAGTGTGTGTGTGTGTGTGTGTGTGTGTGTGTGTGCATACGCAGCACATCCCTGCATGCGTTGTGGCACACCTGGTGGTTGTAGTTCATGGGGTCGTCAAAAGGTTTGGCGGGAACAGGGCGCACATCTGCTCCGAGCGTCCTGGTGGTGGTCAGAGTCACGTGTGACATACATCAACCATTACTCCAGGGGCGGGGGATATACTAGAGCACGCAGCCTTGAGGAAGGCACAGAAAGCACACACACACACGGACACACACACGGACACACACACGGACACACACACACACACACACACGCACACACACACATACATACATACAGACAAAGCAAATCTGAAGTGCGTGACAAACCTCAGGGTGTCAATCTTCTCTTTGGATTGCGTGTCTGGCATGTAGATGACGCACTTGTATCCTTTGGCATTGCAGATGTGTGCAAGGCCAATGCCCGTGTTGCCGGCGGTGCCCTCCACCACAGTGCCCCCAGGCTTAATCAAGCCTGTGGTGAGGACACAACAAAACCGTAGTGTTAGCACGAGCCTGGAGCCAACACAACAGCTGCCCGTGTCCACAAGCACACATAACACGCACGCACACATACACATACACACTGCCACAGACGAGCACTGTGCGCGCACACACGCGCACACCTACACGCCTACACACCTACACACCTACACACCTACACACCTATACACACATGCACACACCTCGCTCCTCTGCGTCCTGGATAAGAAAGAGAGCTGCCCTGTCCTTGACGGAGCCGCCGGGGTTCATTGCCTCGTTCTTCACCAAGATGTTGCAGCCTGAACAGCGCACGGGAGAAAACAAGACATGGGACAGAGGGTGAACAGTGACACAAACAACAATGGATGAGAGCTGCCACCCAGCAAGCTCCCCAAAAAAGCTAACATCACACACATACACACACATACACACACACATACACACACCTGTGGCTTCGCTGGGGCCTTTCAGCTTGATGAGTGGCGTCTTGCCCACAGCACCCACAAATCCAGCCCGCACATAGTCCTTCCAGGCCTAAGTTTGTTTGGCGTTTGGCGTGAGCAGACACAAAGAGCACAGTGAACGACTGACGCAGAGCATATTCACACCACACACACACACACAAACACACACACACAAACACACACACACACACACACCTGTGCTCCAGCAGTAGCTGTCTGTGCGTGGCGCACTGCCTGCCGCATCATCGCTGCCATCGTCGCTTCGGGTGCACTGGCTCTCTTGCTCTTGTCCCTTGCTTGCTTGCTGGCTGGCTTGCTTGCGTGTAGTGCACGGATGACGCGATCTGTCCGTACGACAGCGACATGCAGAAAGATAGCAAACCCCAGCAACGCAGGCGGATGTCAATAACGATTCGCAGGCAGGACCGGCAACACCACCTACTTCCTTCACACTCCATCCATCCTTCCTTCCTTCCTTCCTTCCTTCCTTCCTTCCTTCCTTCCTTCTTTGTGCAGACACTGAGGTGCAGCAGGCATGAGCTCGACGCCTCGGCGGGACCCCCACCGCAGCAATGCCGCAGTTTCAGCGTCGGCATCTCGCTCTGCTTCCACCAAGGCAACATCGCGACCTTCCACGTTCCCAGCCTCACCAACCGTCACGACAACGACGCCGAGCCCCACAGCCACACAGGCAACAACGACCCGGGCCACAAGCCAGGACCAGAGTGCTCGCACGTCCCGCACAGCAACCTCACACGCTGCTCATCGCATGGCGTCGAAGGTCGGAGTCATGGCTGCATCCCAGGGTGCAGATCTTGGCTGAGAGCGTGCTGGCGCGGCTTGCCTTTTGTTCCGTGTTGCTGGTTGTCTGACCCAAATGCACGCCAACATGCTGTGTGCAAGTGCTCACCTGCATACGTCATCCTGTGTAACGCGTACACGCACTCCCAGGAGCCGGCGGTGGGAAACCCAAACTCTGGCACCGTGAAGCGCGAGCGCCAGCGGCGGATGAAAGAGATTATGGACCAGCGCAACGCCATCGCGGCCAAGCTAGCAGAGGCACAGCGCGTTGCCCAGCAGCGCAAGCAGCTGCTCCTCCAACAATTTGGATCGCTCGGGTACGAACACACACACACATACATACACACACACACACACCTGTGCCCGCTGCCGCTCCTTGTGTTGCTGTTGAGTGATGTAGAGTCCTTGCTCTCTCCCCGAACGCGAATGGTGTGGTGGCAGGCCTGGGGGACCCTCTCCTCGGAGTGCGCGCAGGCGAAATGTGGGTGATGTTGGTTCGGATATGGGCGATGGCGATGACACGTGGCAAGGGGCGGGACCGATGCCCTTTGATGCCATGTCGACGTCGTCTCGACCGCAGGACAACGCAGGGCCGCAGTGGTCGACCCCATATCCACACAAGGCATCGGCAAGGCGCAGACACAGGCACATGCAACAGCAGCGAGAGCAACTTGAGCAGTTGCGTGACGACGGAGACAGCTTGCAGCGACGCAATATGGAGCTGGGTCGCGATCATGCACGACCAGACTCTGCAGACACAATGTCAGTTGCCAGCGACGCGAGGGCAGGCGTGGAATGGGAGAGCGAGTGAAGTGTGTGTGTGTGTGTGTGTGTGTGTGTGTGTGTGTGTGTGTGTGTGTGTGTGTGCGTACGTGTGCGTGCATGCGTACGTGTGCGACAAGCTGCAGCTTGGAGTTGTGCCAGCGCGTGAGTATACACACACACGCACAAACTCATTTTGCAGCTATATCCGTGGCGTTATTTCCTTCAATGCTGCTCTCACCTTCATGTTGCTGTTGTGTGATCGCCGCACCCCTTGTCCACAGCATCCCCGAGCGATTTCTTGGCACCATCGAGCCTGAAGGTGTGGCTACAGCTGGTGCTGTGCTGGCAGATACTGAGCCTTGTTCCACATGTGGAGGCACTCCATTGGCGTAATGTAACACACACATACACATACACACATACATACACATACATATACATACATACACATGCACATGCACATGCACATGCACATACGCATACACATGCACATACACATGCTCATACACATGATCTCTCGGTCTTACACGCTGCCATGTGCATACTAACGAACACACACACGTACACACACATACATACATACATACACACACATGCACATGCACGTGCGCGCACGCGGGTAAGACGCGGACACGACGTTGCAGGATGTGCGTGCGTGGAGAGAGAATTACATTCACGAGGGCGGGATGAACCCAGGTGCAGCACACGTGCGCTCGATTCAAGTTGTGTGCGTGTGTGTGTGTGTGTGTGTGTGTGTGTGTGTGGGTGTGGGTGTGTACATATGTTTGGGAGGAAATCTGACGAGTTGATGGGTTGATCGAGTGTGGTTTCCGCAACCACCTTTGCTGTCACGCCTGCCTCACATGTTGATCCATCGTCATCACTGCTTTACATCACACTCATGTTCTTCCCCACTCACACGTTCACACACACGCACACACGCACACAATCGGATGCACAATTGCACACACGAACACACACGCACATCCGCCCGCCATCCATCGACCGACACGCCACCTGATTGGCAGCAACGCTGCAATCGTTGCATGAGGTGGAGCGGAGGTGCACTGACGCAGCGAAACGACCGAACACGCATGATGACACGCGCGATCACAATGCACACGCACCAACAGCAACAGCAGCAGCACATGCAACCAACACCCGTGCAAGCAATGCAACACAGTTTGCGGCAACACAGCCAGAGCCAAACACGACCACGGCAATGACGACCAGCGACCTGGCAGTGATGTTGCAGCAATTGCGCAATCAGGATGCGGCCAACGCGACGACGTCGCCAGAGATGATCCGTCTGCTCATCCAGCAGGAGCTGGTGCGTTGTGTTGTGTTGTGTGTTGCGTTGTGTGTGTGTGTGTGTTGTGTGTGTGTGTGTGTGTGTGTGTGTGTGTGTTGTTGTTGTGTGTGTGTGTGTGTGTGTGTGTGTGTGTGTGTGTGTGTGTGTGTGTGTGTGTGTGTGTGTGTGTGTGTCGAGCTGGACATGCGAGGGTCTTGGATCCAGGCGCTCTCAACCCATGCAAATTGTCGCGGGTTTGCTTGCAGGCACGGACGCATGTGACACCAGTCAATGATTCTGCCGTCGGTGAAGAAGCAACAGAGGAAGAGGTAAAGCGACTGATATACATCTGTCTCTCTCATTCTGTCTGTTTCTGCCTCTCGCACGCTCATGTCGCACACACACACACACAATGCACACACCCAATGCACACACACACACACATGCACACGTCCCCTCGCACAATGTCAGCGCATGGAGGCGCGCCGCCTGCGTCAGCTGCACCAGCAGGCCGAAATCTTGAAGAAGGAAGCCGAGTTGAAACGCCTTCAGCGAGAATTGGATGCGTTTGAACAACCCCAACCAAGCGAAGGACAAGCGCCGCCACTCACGCCACCGGAACAGGCAACTGACGTTCTAAATCCTGGACCGTACGACCGCGAGTCCGGGTTTGTCATATATTTTGACTTTGCCTGCAGGCTTCCGTCGTGGCTGCGTCGCTGCTCCCTCAGCTACCAGCTCTACGCAGGCGGCAAGGTATGTTGCGTTGTTGCGTGCGTGTGCGTGTGTGTGCGCGCGTGCACGTGTGTGTGTGTGTTGCGTTAGTCCGTGTGTGTGTGTGCGTTTGTGCGCGTCTATGTCAATTAATGCTCGCTCTCCAAATACTGATTCCATTCACGTCTTCGACTCACATCTTCTCCACGACCACACGACGCCAACACCGCTTCTCGGGCAGCCGCAGTCACGTGTGCAGACGTGTCTGCCGGTGAACGCGGAGCCAATGGAGATGACAACATCCTCATCTTCACCACTCATGCAGTGCATCTTCCACAAGGTGAAAACTGCTGCTTACACGTCCAATTGCTGTTGCTTTGTTGGGGTTGGTTTGTGCTTACTTGCCGGGTTTGTTTTCAAGCAGGTTGGCGTGTTTGCTGCGCCGTTTCTCTCACACAATACACACACACACATTTGCATACACACTCTTGCACACACATACACTTGCATACACACACTCTTGCACGTACACACACTCTCTCTTGCACGCACACTCACTTGCACACTGACACGCGCATGCCATCACCTTTGCACGTGTCTCATGTGCAGGCGTTTTTCGCCATCCGTCAGTGCCCGCCATTGCCCACGCTCCACCTCATCATCGAACTCAGAAACAGAACAGCAACCTCAGACGAGGTGTGCGTGTGTGTGTGTGTGTGTGTGTGTGTGTGTGTGTGTGTGTGTGTGTGTGTGTGTGTGTGTGTGTGTGTGTGTGTGTGTGTTGTGCGTGTGTGTGTGTGTGTGTGTTGTGTGTGTGTGTGTTGTACTTGCATATATTAGGTACAACCACCAGCCCACCACCTCCAAGCTCACGTTCCGCCCATTTCACCCGACGCCACCATGCACATCAGGGCACGCTGGCTGCGTGGTGCAAGCTGTACTTCTTCTCGCAGAAGCAGCTGGTGAGTGGGCGGTGGCGCTTACGGCTCCTCCAGCCACCAAAAGATGAGTCATGTTTCTCCACGGACACACTCGTCGCCCCTTCCTTTCATGGCGCCGATCTCTGCGTTCGTCTTGGTGAGTTGACGACATGGTGCTCTGTGTGTGTGTGTGTGTGCGTGTGCGTGCGTGTGTGTGAGTGTGTGGGGGGGTATGTGTGCGTGTGTGTGCGCGCGTGTATGGTGTGCGTGTGGTGTGTGCGTTGGGCATCAGCGTGTTGCGTGCTGCTGTCTCTCTCTGTACTTCACACACACGCGCGCATGCACACACACACGCACGCGCGCATGCACGCACACAATTGCTCCAACTCTCTCACTTCACACTCTTCATCAGTTGACGGGCGTGCGCAGTCACAACACGATGCACTTGATGTTGAACCAAAGCGACACCTCTACCTTCCCAATGGTTTGTGCATGCTATCTTCTCATCATTGCTCCCGGCACACCATGAATTGCACTCGCGTGCGTGCGTGCTCGCTCGTGAAATCATGGACTTTGTGACTGCTTGTGTTCTCACTCATGATGATGATGATGATGATGATGATGATGATGATGATGATGATGACCTCCCCCACGCCACGGCTCGTGCTCGCATACAGGTGTTGTTGGACAAGACGTGGTTTATCTGCTGCAGCTCAAGGCAAAGCGTGAGTTGCTGTTCATCGGGGACTGGGGAGGGGGTGGCTGACAACGTGCCCGTGCATGTGCATGTACAGACTTGCGCTTGTTGCAATGACAAACGTCCCGTTTTGTTACACGCACGTTCGCACACGCACAGAAACAATCACACACACACACACACAATCACACACAAACAATCACACACACACAATCACAACAACAACAACACACATGCGCACATGGAACTACCTTGCAGAGACGGAGGACAAACTGAAGCGCCAACAGCTCATGTTTGAGCGACAGAAGAAAGAACAGGAAGAAGAGCAGAAGAAGTTGCTGGCACAAATGTCCAAGAAAGCGTCCGTCAAGTCTGGACTAAATGGAACAGTGGACAAAAGTTCCAAAAGCACGCGCGCAGCCACTGCATACAACAGTACGAACGACAGCGGCGAAACCCCCGCGCCTCTCAATCTTTCGGATCTCAGGTCAGTCGTGGTGGAGGTGATTTATTGAGGATTCGTGTGTGCTTGTCTGATTGTCTGTGCGTTTGCCTTTGTACGCGCGCATATGTTCATGTGTGTGTGTGCTGTGTGTGTGTGTGATGTGTGTGTGTGATGTGTGTGCATGTGCATGTGGATGTGCGTGTGTGCTTGTGTTGCTGTTCCATCTGATGCTATTGTGACATTTGTGTGCCTTTATGAACACGCGCGCACAACACATCCACCAGCGGCTTGTCCGTGGCATCGGCATTTCATCTCCTCAGCGACAAGAACGTGAGAATACGGTCATTTGTGTGTGTGTGCGTGTGTGTGTGCGTGTGTGTGCGAGTGTGCATCTGCACGGTGTGTGTGTCATGTCACTCTTTCGACCAAGCTTTCACCGATTCGTTGAAGCTTGTTCAACTCCGTTCACCCGCTCATTTTAGCATCAATCCACTGACGCACCAATCCATCCATCCATCCGCCCGTCCGTGTACACGTGCACAGGCGCTCCCGCTCGCCATCAACATCACGGCAGTGCTTGGATTTCTCCAAAACGCAGAAGAAAAGCTGGCGGCGCGGTGTGTGAAGACGTGACGTGATTATGGTGTTTGAACACCGTGTTGTTCTTGCGAAACGCTGTTGCTCGCTGTTCACATGTACATGCGCGCGACAGGGCATCGTTTGTTTTGATGTTGCTCGACACATACTCTTACTCGCTCGCATCCTCACTCACACGCACACTCGCAGCAATGCACTGCCGACATGGGCGTGTGTCCGTTTGTCGCTGGTTCTTCCGTCAAACACAAACATGGCTGCGCTCACGCTGTCGCAGACAATGTCCGAGCTCTTTTACATCAGTACGTGTCTTGCGTGACCGCTAGCTGGCACTCACCACCATTGCACGCTTTATTTACTGTTGCGTCATGCTATTGTCGACTCACATGCGCAGCATGCAAAATGTGTGCGCACGCCCTGGCACAACAATCAGATCGATGTACACATCACTCACACACTACACACACACACATACTCTCTCTCTCAATCCCCCCCCCACACACACACACACGCACACACTCACATTGCTGACTGAAACAGGCGCGGACTCCCATTTCACTGCGGACGACAGTCGGAATCTCACCGTGCACCAACGTCTGATATTGCAGGTGAGTGTTGTGTCCCGCGAGTGTTGTGGTGGTGTGGATGATTGAGTCTTGACATGTACGTGTGTGAACATGTGTTTGTGTACATGTGTGTCTGCGCATGTGCGCATAGTGTGAGTGACCATGCGTGGTTGCCTGTGGCTGCATGTGTGTGAGTGTACGCGTGCCTGTCTTGTTCTCGCTGGCATCATCCGCCCTCATGCCACTGCGCCGCTGTCATGTGAAAGGATATTGAGCTGAACGAAACCGCTGACATCAACATCATGGTGGAGGTCTTGGCTGGTGAGCGCACTCCCGTTGTTGCTGTTGTTCGTGGTGATGATGGAGTTGAATCTCACGAGCTCGCAGCATTCACACAACCACAGGCACCTTCTCCCTCTTTTCCTCATTTGCTTACCTATTTTCCTTCTCTCGCACGCACTCATCTACACCCTTCCCCCACTCACACACACACACACACACACACACACACACACACACACACACTCTCTCTCTCTCTCTCTCTCTCTCTCTCTCTCTCTCTCTCTCTCTCTCTCTCTCTCTCTCTCTCTCGCGCGCGCGCGCGCGCATATGTCGCCCCACCACCGTCATTTCCCCTCCAACGCGCGGCTGTGCAGTGACGGCACGCGAGGATGCAAACACGACCGGGGGCGAGAACCAGCTCTCGTCCCAGTGGAAATCAATGCTGCAGGAAGAACTTCCACAGCCGACAGCGGATGATGTTGAAGCTGCACTGCGCGTGCTGTGGGGCGTCACGCCGCTCGCTTCCATCCCACTTCTCGTACGCGCAGTGCCATCAGTCGTGCTCGTTCGTGGTTTGATGGTGTTATTGTGCACCGTGACATGATGCGTGCTGGAATGCAAGTTGTGCTGTTTGCTGTCAGTTGTGCTGCTCTCACTCACAATGTCATCATACATACACGTTTACACACACGTACACGTACACGTTCACACACACGCATGTACACGCACACACGCATGTACACACGCACGCATTTACACGCACATATCAGGAGACGTCCATTGCGACGATTTCGCTGTCGCCGTGCGAGGATGATGATGAAGACAAGGATGAGGGCGGGCTGGAGAGCCGGCGTGGAAGCAAGAAGCGATCGCATCGGCCAACGGTGACAGGACAACACGATGACGACAACGAAGACAACAACGCGACGCGAATCACTGCAGAGGTGCCACGCTCTCAGGCAGAGACTGCTTCCGACCACCGCACGTCTGAACACACACACACACACACACACACATTGCGCATACGCCTGCACAAATCCCCGCACACATACATACGCACATCCCCCTTCTCCACACACACACACACACACACACACACACACACACACACACACACACACACACACACACACGCACGCACACCTTTTCGCCCACTCATGACCTCCAACTCTCCACCGCCACGCTGCTTTGCGCGTGCATCCCGTTTCAGATTCGGCTCGATGTTGTTGACGATGACGGGAAATTTGCGAATGACAGTGGTTCACGTGCACACACACACACGCTCGCATCAACAGCAGGCGGCGCTTACACAAGCGGCGTTGTGAACTCCAGTCGGCAGCAGCGCACGAGAGGACGGAGTGAGCAGACGAGAGGGAGTGATGGCGATGGTGGTGGTACTGGGACTGGTGGTGGTGTTGGTATCGGTGGTGCACTGACACCCGGCCGTGATCAGACAGGACTTCAGCTGGACCAGGCCCTCAAGCTCATTCCTGATGGTGATGCTTGGTTGTGTTTCTGTGTGTGTGTGCGTGTGTGTGTGTGTGTGTGTGTGTGTGTGTGTGTGTGTGTGTGTGTGTGTGTGTGTGTGTGTGTGTGTGTGCGTGTGTGTGCGTGTGTGTGCGTGTTTCTGTGTGTGTGTGTGTATGTGTGAATCAACCTTTGCTGTGACCGTGCTCGGTTGGGCGCAGCTGTCATGGCAACAGCTCGCACCCTTGTTTCCCATTCTCATGCCGGCATCATCGCGTGTCTCCACGCACATGCCACTCACTGGCCTCAGGCGTGTTCATCTACAAGGAGCGCACACCACCAGCAGAAGTGTTCCAGAGCACGAGTGGCTTTGACCTCTACATTGACGGTGCCCGGTTTCTTCCGTCAAACGCCACAATCACGAAGGTACTGTGACGTTACGGCATGCGCTGTCGGCAATGATGCATGCACGCACACACGTGCAACTTTGCCCCAACTATCTCCTCTCCTTCGAAACGCGATTGTACATGACGGTACATGGTTCCTCTTGCACGATGCATTGCCAAACACGTGATCACACACACACACACACACACACACACACACACACACACACACACACACACACACAACCGTGATGGCCACGTTAGGTTGTGGGGCGCATTTTCAACGTTGGCAAACAAGTGCAGAAGAAAGACATCACCACAAGTCTTGATCTTGATTCCGACGTCTTCAATCCAACCGTATGTGCACGCACTGTTCACTGCCATGATGATGAGAAGGGAAGAGTGTGTGTTGGGAGGTAATGTGAGTGGGTCAGGCAGAGGGAGCAAGTGAGTGAGAGGAGCGTTAGAGAGCAAGACAGATATCGAGGCAGCGCATGCAAGCTCACACACAAGCAAAACAACCCAAACACATACACAATTGTGCATTCGGTCTGAAACGCCCATGTCCCATCAGTACAACTTTCGACTGGAGTTCCGCGAGCCAATCTTTACTCCGACGTCCACCCTCGTTGTCCAGGTCTGTGTGCGTTGCCGCCGATACACACACGCGAGAACGGACATACAGACACACCCACGCAGACTCCCACGCACGCGCATAGGTGCACACACATCTGCACACACGCACATTCACTCGCCTTCCCCTCTCTTGTCGTGCTGAAGGTGTACACAATCGACCGCTTCTCAAATGAGCTTGTCATAATTGGCTATGCAGCCATCAACCTGTTTTGCTTGCACGGTGAGTCAGAAACTGTCACACCCTCGCCCCGCTTTGCTGTGCTGTGCTGTGTTGTGCTGTGTGCGAGCGTGGAATGATTGTGCCTCGTGCTTGTGTTTGCACTTGCGAGGGTAAGCATGCATGCCGTTGTGTGTGTGTGTGTGTGTGTGTGTGTGTGTGTGTGTGTGTGTGTGTGTGTGTGTGTGTGTGTGTGTGTGTGTGTGTGTGTGTGTGTGTGTGTCCCCACAAGTAAGCTCTTTTTTCACCTCTTCGGATCTCTCCGTTCATGACTTGGGTCAGGAACGAATGAGGCCCCAGATTCTGACACGCTCGGACAAGCGGTCGCACTCAACGAGGGTGGACACCAAATCCGCCTGCACAGGTCTGATCTTGGCACGCCTTTGCTGCTTCTTTCAGACTTGAAAACACACACATACACATACATACACACATACACACATACACACACACACACACATACACACACACTCGCACAAACACAAACACACACAACTACGTACACAAATTATGCACACATGCCCCTTGTTCATCTCACGGGATTGCCAATCTGTTTGCAGTCAACCGTTTGCTGGGTCAGACCGTCCACATGTGTCTGTGCTCGCCGAGAAGCCGGTTGTGCCGTGTGCGTCCCTGCTGGTGCGACTGCTGCCGGCGCTCAAAGATGACGATGGCAACGCCCTGTCTATGGCCGACATCCCAAAGGCAGAGGTTCGTTGACTGGTGGTGCGTATTTGCGAGCGTGTGTTGTCGGTGCCGTTACACCTGTGATGGCTGCTGCAGTACACTTGACTTTACACACATTCCTTTACTCACCGCCATGCCGCATGTGCAATCGTGCCTACCATCCTTGCCCCTCGGCATCTCCCCATCCCGTGCAATGTCCCTTCCCCCCTCCCCCAAATCCAGTGGCAATCGAGTGGGCTTGTCGTTCCGGCGCCATTGTATCGCTCTGCCGCGTACGCCTCTGTCGCATGTGCGCCCGTACACGGCGAGCCGCACATCTACCAGCAGCTCGTGCAGCGAGAGGTTCGTGCTTGCGTGTGCATATATGTGTGCGTGTCTGTCTGTCTGGCTGGCTGTCTTTGTGTCTGTCTCTGTCTGTCTGGCTGTCTTTGTGTCTGTCTGTCTGTCTGTCTGCTTGAAAGCTCGTTTTGTGTTTGGCAACACGAACAACATGTAAACAGTGCATGCTCATTACGTTGACTTCTCATTCTCCTCTGCGCCATTTTGCGCCCCTCTTCCCCCCCGGCTATGTTCCAGGTGGAGAGCGTGCGTAATGTGTGCGCTGTCATTGCTGACGAGAAGCAGAAAAAGACCCTCTCCACCGACAAGCGACGCCACCACTTCATTCGCAAGTGCGTCTGCTTTTGTGTTGTTCAGTTTCTTGCCACGTAACAGCGTTCACAGACCACATCTCACAATGCACGCAGGCCATACACAAACAGCACACGACTTGCCTTGCAACCTCAAACCTCGACATCAAAAAGCCTCCATCTCACACCATTCATTTCTCTCGCGACCAACATGTATTCGACACGCAACACATCACTGCCGACATCAGTCGCTTAACCCGCTCGACAGGAAAAGCGGCCCAGTTCATGGACTTGAGTTTCATCGTGCCAGTGATGGCTGTGCATGGCTTGCATCTCTTCATCGAACGAGCCGTCAACCTGCCAAAGTCAAAGGTGTGCCTGTGTGTGGTGTGTGTGTGCAAAAATGTGTGTGTGTGTGTGTGGTTGCCGTATTGGTAGCAAAGCCTTCGTCCTTTGAGACGAAAATGTGACAGCATAAAACACATGAATCACTGCATGCGTCGTTGTGTGGTGCTGTCGCAACTCCCAGCTCTTCACACACACACACACACACACAAACACAAACACACGCATACATGTGTGCCGTTTCCTTTTGCCATTCACCTTCCCCCAAACCTTCCAATGCACCCAGCCTGCCGTTGCTGTTGCGTCGCTGTGTCCTCCGGCCTCGCTATTCTTCAACGATTCCGTCGACCCGGATGACCGCTCCATTCAGTGGACACAAGGGTCCGTTTGTTTGTGTGTGTGTGTGTGTGTTTCTTTCTTTCTTTCTTTCTTTCTTTCTTTCTTTCTTTCTTTCTTTCTTTCTTTCTTTCTTTCTTTCTTTCTTTCTTTCTTTCTTTCTTTCTTTCTTTCTTTCTTTCTTTCTTTCTTTCTTTCTTTCTTTCTTTGCTGTGCAATTACCGCACACGAAGCGTGATGTGGTGTGGTTGCCTCTGCTTTCGCCGTGCCCCATTCACCAATGCCAGCTTCGTCCGCATCGCAGATGGAGTGTCGACGAGCCCATGTGCGCTCTTCGCAGCCCAATCTGGACCGATGTCCCACTCACATTCAAGGACAAAGTCGAAGCGAAATCGGTGCGTCATGTGTGTGTGTGTATTTTTTTGTGTATTTGTGGAGTTGTGTGGTTGCGTGTGTATGTGTGTGTATTTGTGTAGTTGTGTGGTTGCGTGTGTGAAAATGTACGGCAGGTGTCTGTACATACACTTGTTAGTGCAACAGTGAGCCACGAGGGCCCAGCTACACTCACATGTGCACTTGCTTCCTTGCAGATGTTTGTGATCGAAGTGTTTGCTATCGACTACAAGGGCGCGTCAGCTATCCCTCAGGCCCACACATACTTCTCGGTACTGCTGCTTAAATACATACGCGTTTGGTATTGCGTGCATGTGTGCACATGTACACGGGGTTGCGCTTTCTGCCGTGTGGTGGATCTATCCCATCTCGTCCATCGCAATATTGTTCAGCTCACCGATGTCTCCCTGCAATCCTCTGCTGCACTATTGAATGTTCAGTGCGTCAAGGCAGGCCAATTTGTTGCTTGTGGCGGGTTTAGGCTACCGCTCTTTCTGGTGCGTACCTTATCTGCTTGCTTGTTTGTTTGTTTGTTTGTTTGTTTGTTTGTTTGTTTGTTTGTTTGTTTGTTTGTTTGCTTGTTTGTTTGCTTGTTTATCTACTTGTTTGTTTGTTTGTTTGGTACTCATCCAAACAGGCACGACTGCAAGCGTGACCATCCCACTCTGTTTGTTCCTTGGTGCCACTCACATCCGCTTCCAACGTCACCGGTGCAGGGCAAAGCCAACGTGGACGTGCTTGCAAGCATGATGGAGATCGACTCTCCACAGGAGTTTGAGGGTATCCTTGACCAGGCTGTGAAGAAGAAGCAGCTGAAAGTGGTGGAGGGCGGATACGTTGTTGTGCACTCGGCGGACGCGCGAATAAGTCTGGATCTTGCGTGCCAGCACGAGCTTGTTGACGCATACCCTCGTTTTATCGACAAGAAATCAAAGGTGATTGTTTGTGTGTGTGTGTGATTGTACATGTGCGCAGGGACACTGTGTGCACCTGTTTCCTGCCCTCTGTCCTGATGTCAGCGCATCTCTACTCACAACCCACGCTGACATGCGATGGTTTACGGTCCGCCTTCGTGTCCTCGCTTCTCCTCGTCTCACAATTGCTGTGTTCAGACCATCACCAAGTCCAAGCCCATCCCTTCAGTGCTCAAGAGCAAACAGACAATGGACGACCTTGAAGCGAAAGTGGAAACCATCATGGCGCACACCATCTTTGCTGGCAACGATAGCGAAGCCTAAGTGGTTGATCCAGTGTGTGTGTGTGTGTGTGTGTGTGTGTGTGTGTGTGTGTGTGTGTGTGTGTGAGGGTATTCATGTGTACATTTTTGTGCGGATTGTGTCGATTTTGTGCACCTGCATGTCAGACCGCACCGCTGATGCCGTTCCCGTTTTATGACAACTTATGAACATATCTTCTTCCGAGCTGTGCTCTACCCCTCTTCCCTGCCCCTCCCCCAAGCGTGTTGCCTTGTTGTGTTACTTGCGTAAGAGTGGAGATCAATCTGTTCAGAAATAATTGTAAACGTACCTCTTGGTCAACCAAGTGGCATGCCATGCACACAGTGCAGGGTCATGTAACAAAACAAAGCAAGGAAATTATGGAAGCATGTGATAGCCCACACGAATCACGCAACGGCGTGAAGTGCAGCATGTCACTGAAGCAAATAAAGCGGCATGAGATTTGACTTCACATGATCGCGCACAACCGGCTCTTCTTCTTGTGATTCAAGATGGGTTGTGTCGATGATTCTGATGATTTGCCTGTAGCTAAATGGAAGGAGCGGAGTCACATGTCGCGCGTGCGTGAGGTCACGAGCACTGCAGATTGCAAAGAGGGTGGGTCTTAAAGCCTAGCACACGTGCGAATGTCGATCTGCCCACATTTACATTCACGCCTGCATGCACACACGCACACGCATACGCACACGCAAGCACGCATCCATAGGGGCATACGTACGCTGTGCAGATGATGCCGAGGACGTGCTGTACAATGGTGCGGATGTCTTTGTTGCTGTCTGCTTGATTTCCTGCACGGCAGCCTTGGCCTTGTCGCACACGTCGGGCTGTGCAGTGGTCATCTCGCACCCCTTTGCCAGGATGCCGCGGTCGTAACCGGCAACAAAGTCGACGGCATCAAAGCCCTTTTGGCGCAGCAGCGACACGGCAATGGCGCTGCGGAATCCGCCGAGGCAGTACACGACATACTTCTTGTCGCGGTCCAGTGCAGAGCACGACTGGGGGAGCTGTGGGGATTGATGGTTTGGTGGAGGGGGAATCGTGTGAGGATGAGCGTGCACGAGAGCAATGCGAAGCAAAGAAGAGAGGGGCAAACGTGCAAGCACACACACACACACAAATATACGCGTGCATGCACCAGACACACACATACATACACACATACGCACAAACACACCTCTGCGAGGGGCAGGTTGATGGATCCCTTGACGTGGCCGCGAACGACGCACGAGTACTCGCCAGATGTGCGCGTGTCCACAATGACATAGCCCTTGGCCTGGAGCTGGCGGATGGTGTCAGCGTTCTCCTGATGATGATGATGATGATGATGATGATGATGATGATGATGATGATGATGATGATGATGATGATGATGATGATGATGATGATGATGATGATGATGATGATGATGATGATGATGATGATGATGTGATGGTAACGTGGTTGTGATGGAGGAGGGCAGGGAAGGGGGAGGGGACGATGGTGTTAGTGTCAGGGGAAACAAATGAAAGCAGAGAAGAAGATGTACAAGCCAGCCAACATAGGCAACCAACAAGAAATCAAGTTCATGCACACAACGACATGTTCGCAAACACATGCTTGCATGCATGTACACACACACACACACCCTCTCACACACATGCACACGCACGCACACATACACACACACGCACACACGCACACACTGTCTATCTCTGCTTACCACTGTGATCTTGTCAAACTTGTCCACGGGCTCGCCGGCCTCAATCCAGGTCTTCATGCCAGACTTGAGGTTGCCGATGATCTGCTGGGCATAGCCGATGCGGCCCAGTCGCTCAATGGCCTCCTTGCCCTTGCCTTCCTCGGCAATGATGAGCACCTTTGCCTTGGGCGCGATGAGCGTGCCCACCCAGATAGCAAAGTTGCCGTCCTCATACTCCAGGTGCACGCCACCGCCGAGGCCGAGTGGGATGTTGAGAGCGCCCTTGATGTGGCCGGCGGCAAAAGGCCCGGCGTTGCGCGTGTCGAGGATGACGACGTCGTCGCCCATGGCGGCCTTGAACTCGGAGATGGACAGTGATGTTACATTCTCCACCTCCCTGTCAAGGTCGTCGGCACCCTTCATGTTGGCCATGACGGCGCTGGGAAAGTACTGTGGCGCGGCGTCGAGACCGGTTGTGTTGAACTCGATGAACTTCTGCTCGTCGTCAATCTGCAGAGCAGGGTTGGTCTCCTTCTCCTTGCCGATGGTGGAGGAGAGATCTGCGCTGATGCCCTTGCCGCAGGGCGAGCCGGGCCCGTGGGCGGGGAAGACGAGGCACTCGTCCGGCAGGGAGAGGATCTTCTCGCGCAGGGACTTGAACATCATCTTGGAGAGCACCTCTGGGGTGAGGTCCGGGTTGAGGGCGCCGACGAGGTCTGGGCGCCCGCAGCCGCCAACGAAGAGCGTGTCGCCGGTGAAGGCCATGATGGCCTTGTCTGTGGCACGCTCAACAACAACCCAGGTGACGCAGCCCGGGGTGTGGCCGGGGGTGGGCATAGCGCGGATGGCGTACTTGCTGGAGAGCAGCAGCATCTCGCCGTCCCCGCAGGGGTAATGCGGGAACTGGGCGCCGGCGTCCTCGCCGATGAAGATGGTTGCGCCGTAGCGCTTGTGCAGCTCCATGTGGCCGGAGACAAAGTCGGCGTGCAGGTGCGACTCCAGCACGCCCTTGAGCTTGAGGTTGTGGTCCTGCAGGTACTTGGAGTAGATGCCGATGTCGCGGCGCGGGTCCACGATGAAGCAGTTGCCTTCGTGGCACACCATGTACGAGCCGTGCGCCAAGCACTCGAGGTAGAACGTGTACAGGGTCAAGCCATCCTCCAGCTTGAGCGTCTTCGTTGGCTCCTCCACATTGGAAGTGGTCGCAGAAGGTAGGGAGGTGGAGGCGCTTGTCTTGGCCTTTACTGCCGTGTTGGCCATGGTGCTGTTTGAGTTTTTGAGCGCTGTGCTGTGAGTACTGCGAAGACTTGTCGATCGCTCGCTTTGCTCTGTGGAAATGACACCAAGTCTGTCCTGGCCAGCACTCAGCGGAGGGTCTGCCGTGTTGCTGAGCCATTGTGCACCTCCTTGTGTGTGTGCTGGCGAGATACTGGCTGTTTTGTTGCGTTCGCATCGTGGGATGATGAAACCTGATTGACGTAAGGAGCCAAATAAATTGCGCTGGGAACGTTCGGGGTCGTGTTCACTGTGAGGTCATCCGCCAACAATTCAATCGGCTGTTCTTGTTGGCAAACGCATACACGCACACACGCACACACGCACACACGCACACACGCACATGCACACACGCACATGCACACACGCACACACACACACACACACATAAGACGTCCAAGGCACCTTACTGCCCTGCCTCGCAACCAAACACACATCCTTTTCTCTTCTCTCCTTCTCTCCTCCTCCTCCCATCATTTTACACTGTCACTAAGGTGTCACTACACGGTCGACACGTCCGTGTGCGGGCCGCTAAACCCGTCCATTGCGTCCCCATTGGCTTCATCCTCCAGGAGCAGCTGCTTCTGGGACGCGCGACGCTGGTGGTGGCTGGGGCGCTGCTTGGTGCAGTGGCCGTTTTCCGTCGCCGTGCCATTGCTGTGAGTACACGAGATGAGCGCCTTGGTCTCTGGCTCGCGACGCACGGGCGCAGCACCGCTGCTCGCATGCGTGCTGCTGCGCCGATGGTCCGAGGGCAGCTTCTGCTGAGCGTGGAGGCGGAACTTGCGGCGAATGCGAAGGAGCAGGATGATGGCGCCAAGAATGCGAATGCCAATGTAGAACAGCACCAGCGGCAGCACAAGCGCCCACTCAGAGGGATCGTGTGCCTCCGGTGACTGCACAAACAGGATGTTGCGCTGCCGGTAGTCCTCCGTCAGCAGGTTGGTCTCGATGTAGCAGTCGTGCGGACCCACGGCGCTGCTCGCCCTCGACGGATGGCAGCGGTACGAGTCGTTGGCAGAGAACTCCGTGCGCATGAGCGCCGTCAGGATGTAGTACGGGATGCCAATCACGCTCGGCAGCCACTGGATCGCGTCGGGCAGCGTGCGGTAGAACCCAGCCATCATCAGCATCGCCTGCACAACAACAGTCACCACGGCAACGGCTGCCGCGGGGTCCGGAATCGCCGCCCCGAGCAGCAGCCCGAGTGCGTGGAACACGTTGGCCGCAAGCGCGAGGATGAAGCTCTTCGTCAGGTTGCTCTCCCAGTCAGCGCCCACGTATGCAAGCGTAAACGTGATTGTGCCAAACACAATCGGCCACACCGCCAGCACCGCAAAGTCAAACACCGTCCACACCACCAGCCGCAGCCAGTACGAGTAGAAGTGGCCAGACACGTCCTGCCGCAGCAGCAGGTACTGGCTCTTCACCCCAGCGGCAGCCGGGTACACAAAGGCAATGATCCACGTGATCATGGCCGCAAACAGCAGGCTCACCGTCTCCCCAAACGAGCGCCGGTCCTCCTCAACACCAACCCCAAACCACAGAATTCCCGTCACCAGGCCCAGCCCAATCGCAACAACCGCCTTGTACTTGTTCAGGGCACGCGGTGACTCCTCTTTCATGTACAGCAGCGCAAGGCTGTGCACTTGCTGCTTCACAGACGCAACCGGGCGGTGCAGCGCCTCAAGCTGCGCCAGGCCAACACCAGCTGCCTTTGCAGTTGTGGGCAAAGAACTTGCTGTCTCTGCGCCTGCCGCGTGCTGCTTGTCGTTGGTCTTTCCGTTCACCCCGTTCATATCGCATTTGTTGTGTGTGCTGTTGCTGTTGTTGTTGTGTGTGCTGCTGCTGTTGATTGTGTTGTGCGTGTTGCCAGCACGCTCCAAGTCATCCTGCACACGGCCGCTCTCCAGTTCCAGCGTGGTGTCCAGCACGGCAGAGACGAGTGAAGTCGCCGTGCCCACCGCGCACACCACAGCAATCTGCTTCTCCTGTGCCACCCGTTTGAGATACTTGAGGATGCGCACGCCGGCGGCCTCGTCAATGCCGCGCAGCGGGTCGTCCAGCAGCACAATGCGCGTCGGCGCAATCATCAGCTGTGCAAGGCGCATCCGCAGCGCCTGTCCTTGGCTCAGGGACGCAGCCTTCTGGTGGCGGACATCGGTCAGCATCAGCCCCTCCAGCGTCTCCTCCAGGGCCTGGCTGTACTCGTCCTCTGTGGCGTTGGTCAGCAGCAGCGCCCCGCAGTAGTTGATGTTGTCCTCCACAGACAGGTCGCCGCGGATCGGGGCCGCCGTCGGCAGAAACGACAGCACCGCCGCCTTGTTCTCCTCCCGCAGCGCCTGCACGGGCACGTCGCCAACCACAATCTCCCCAGCCTCCCACACAATGCCAACCGAGTGGCCCGCCAGCGTGCGCAGCAGCACCGTCTTGCCGCTACCGCTCGCGCCCACCACCCCCGTGATGCACCCTGGCTGCGCCACGCCGCTCACGCCACGCAGCAACGGCTTGCTGCCCTTGGCCGACACCACACGCAGGTCCTTCCACCGCAGGGACACAGCCGGCGGCTCTGCCAGCGACGTGGCATGAGAGCCGGCAATGATCTCGGCATCCTCCCTCCACTGGCTGCCTCGCACCGGTGCGATCCGCTGTTGCTGTTTACTATGCTTCACAGGGCAACTTCTGGGTTGCGCCCCGCGAGTACGTGATGAACTTCCTTTACTCTGTGATTGTGCCAGAGGAGGGCGGCGACACGGGTTTTGCCGACACGGTGCTTGCGCTGCAGCAGATGGATCCCGAGCTGCGCAAGGAGCTCGAGGGCCTGCAGATTGAGGTGGATGCCCGCAAGATCCCGGACTTCTCCAGCCTGAAGGAGGACGACGAGCGCTTCCCCGTGGCCCTGCACTCCATCATCTTCAACCACGACGAGTCCGGCATCGAGTCGCTGTACCCTGGAAACGGCAACGTCACGATCAAGGGCAAGACCAAGGAGGAGTCGCGCGACATCATCGGCCGCGTGCTCGCCCACCTCGACAGGGAGCCGTACGTGTACTACCACAAGTGGACCAAGGGCGATCTCGTGCTGTGGGACAACAAGACGTGCATGCACCGCAGCATGGGCGGCTACGGCAACCACCCGCGCAAGCTGTTCCGCACTCAGTGCTTCCACCACCCCAACCTCCGCACGCAGTCGTGAATGAATGCCTGCACAATGGCCCATGCGTCTGTTCTTGGGCTGTGTAGTTGCATTACAGGCAGTCCTCTATATCTCTGTTTGCTTGTTTGATGTGATGTGACATGATGTGATGTGATGTGACGCAGTGGGGTCTTGTGTCTGTGCCCGTCTGTATGTGCGTGTCCTGAGCCGCCCGACTTGACGTGCTCGCCTTAGCCGAAGCACACCCAGTAGTAAACAGCCAACAAACCCACAAATTACTTGCACCATGACAACGAAGAGAGCTTGAGGCGCCCAAAGAAGAGCAGGGCGAGCTGAGGGCAGCAAGTGCATGACATGTCACAGCACACGACATTCAGACATCGTGCGGGCCGTGATTCAACTCAAAGATGACATGTCGAGCGAACGAACACATACACACGCGCTTCCTCATCACACGCACAATCGCACCCACACCGACACAGGCACAGACAACAACATTCGTACACACCCACACAGAGTGTCACTGTGGTGGGTAGTAGTAGCCTTGGTAGTCTGGGTGTTGGCCGTACATGCCAGCTTGCTGTCCTGGCTGCTGTCCGTAGTAGTAAGCAGCCATGGCAGCGGCGTCATCAGCACCCTGCTGCTGCCCTGGTTGCTGCCACTGTTGTTGATGATGCGCGGGTGGCATCATGGCCGGATCAGCGTGGTGCGCTGGCCAAGTCGGAAAGTAAGGCTGAAACGGCGCTGGCTGCTGCTGTTGCCGATGCCGCTGCTGACCATGCTGCTTTTCACCCCGCATGCGAGCACCACCACGACCACCACGACCGCCACGACCACCACGACCGCCACGGCCACTACCCCGGCTTCGAGTGGCGTTTGGCGCCTTGGCTGTGGCGGGTTGAGGCGGCGACGACACGGGCTGGTGAGCTTGCAGCGCAAACAACAGGTTCGCCCCTGCATCGTCCTGCTGCTGGTGACGTTGCCGTTGATGGTGTTGTTGTTGTTCTGGGCGCTGTTGGAGTTTGAGCATGAGCTGTTTCCCCGACAGTGTGCTATTGTCTTCACCAGCGCCACCCTTTTTGCCGTGCTGCTGCTTGTTCTGGTGGGGAACATAGAGCTGCTTGCCTGCCTCGTCCTGGTCCAGCGAACCCTGCCGGTGCATGCCACCTCGTCCACGCCGACGTTCACGCTCACGTCCGCCGCGCCCGCGCTCAGACGTGTGCGGCGCCTGGTCCTGTTGGTGGCGGTGCTGATGGCGGTCGTGGCGGTCGTGGCCACGACCGTGATGATGGCCGTGCTGCTGCTTCTGATGGTGCTGATGAGGCTGGTACTGGTGGTGGTGGTGCTGATGATGATGCTGGTGGTGGTGGTGATGCTGTTGCTGTGCATGCGAGGTGGGTTGCTTGCTTTGACCATCGCGGAGGTGGCGACCACGCCTCGTCGCTTGCACGGGGAGTGGGGGCGCTTCAAACACGTTCACAACCAGCGATGGAAGCGCGCACACCTCGCTCACCACGTGAACAAACCGCTCGAGCACGCGCAGCAGTGGGGCAGTGGCGCTGAAGTCCGATGCAGCCCCCGCATGGATGGTGAAGGCCAGCCACGTGTTGCGTACATCGGCGAGAAGCCCAACAGTCTCCATGGTGGTGAGGATGGTGGCCCAATCGTCCACATGCACGTTGCACGGCGTCTCATTCTCCTCAGCACCAGCAGCGGTTGCCTTTGCGCCCAAACTACCACCATCATCATCATCATCGTCATCATCGTCCTCCTCTGAGTTGACTGCGCGTTCGCGTGTGATTTGTGTGTGTGTGTGTGTGTGTTGGCTCTTTTTCAGTCGCAGTGAAGAGCAATTTGAAGGGATTCAGCACCAAGTCAGCGAGTACAACAGTACAGCCATACAAATCACAACAGTGCAGCTGTGCATCGATGTAGCAGTGGCATTCACCTGGTGTTGGGTCAAGGTCGTGGCCAGGTTGGCTGTTGAACATGTACACAAACTCAGCGGGAACAAGCGTGCACTGAACATCACACCAAAGCAAGCGCAGTTGTGTCGAGAGCGTTGGGTCAGTCGCGAACCAGCGTATTGTCTTGCAGTTACATGCACTCCCACACAAACGCACATACACACACATGCAAACACACACACACCCTCAGCGCAACACACACACACACACACTCGCACACACACGCACACATACAGTGTCAAGGAGGGTTGCGCCGCCAAGCCTGGTGATTTCGTCGAAGATGAGCCAGCCCTGGTTGCGTGCAGGCTTTGCTGACGACACAGACGATTCGCTGCGCACTTTCGCCTTTCGCTGAAACCTCGTGGCGTACCTGCCGTTGCGACACGATGGTGTATGTGTGTACATGTGCGAGCGAAACCAAACAGCGAGGCAGACAGAGCAGTGAGAGGGAGACAGAGCTTGTGTGCATGTGTGCATATGTGTGTGTGCGTGTGCGTGTGTGTGCGTGTGTGTGCAAGGTGCATCTGTGTGATGACTGCCACACAAGTAACAGCGCTGCATCAAGTGGTCTCACGTCTGCTGGCCCGGGTTGCGGCGGGCGAGGTTTGGATACGCGCCGGCAACGAGACACGCCAGCACCACTGGCCACGAGTTGGCGTTGGCGTCAGCCGTCTGGCGATTAAATAGCACACACGCACACAAGCACGTACACATGATATGCGTGAGGCGGAACACGTGCCAGCACAGGGAAGGCGGAATTGACGAAGTTACGCAGTGATGAGACGTGATGCACACACACACACATGCACACACACGCACACACATACACACGCACACACATGCACACACATACACACATACACACAGACCTCCATGTCATCACGCGTGTGGAGAATCATGCGCCGCAGCTGGTTGGTAATTTGCTGCTTCATGCCTGTTTCACCATCGCACACACATGCATGCATGTACACGCATGAGCGCACATGCATGTGCAGGTTTGGAGGCACACACGTGTCTCCGTGAGAAAGTGTCAGTGCCAGCAAATGCGAACGCTGTCACGTGTGCGTGTGTGTGTGTGTGTGTGTGTGTGTGTGTGTGTGTGTGTGTGTGTGTGTGTGTGTGTGTGTGCATGTGTGTGTGTGCATGGCTGTGTGTGTGCATGGCTGTGTGTGTGTGTGTTAGCCTCGTGATGTTACCTTCGATGGTCTCCAGCGTGCTCTCATGTAGATAAAACCGCTCACAAAACTGCCGTGCCGACCCCTGCAACATCACAGAGCGTTGCGGGCACAAACAGCAACACATTTACGCGTGAACGGAGGCACAAGAGATCAGGGCGAATGGAGGACGAAGACGAATTCCTCACAAGTACGCTCACACACACACAAGCACACATACACACATGAAATACACGACCCAACAAACACGTGAGTTCAGACCTTCATCCTTGCTTGGTGGTATCGGGCAACAGCGGATATGAGGGCAAAGTGATCGCTGTGCTGGCCCTGCGCCAGCTGCTTGTGCGCCTTCTTTGCCTCGCTCTGAAACCAGGACGACGACGACGGTGGTGGCGGTTGGCAATGGTGGGAGATGCACACAAAGTTTAACGCACACACAACACAACACAACACAACACAACACAACACAACACAACACAACACAACACAACACAACACAACACACAACACACAATACGCGCACGCTCCGCTTGCCCCTTCCCTCCACACGACACATGCGCGCACCCGCTGGGCCGGGTCGATGGGGAGACGGAGGGGACTGCGATGCGAGCGGATGCAGCAGAGTGTGAGGATGGGGTCCAGACAGCCCATGTGCACAGCGAGCAGCACCATGCGGGCAAGTGCTGTGGAGTGGGGGCGGGGGGCGGGGGACGGGCCATCGGTTGGTGTGGGTGATAGCATGGTTGTTGGTGAGTTCCATACATCGATGTGTGCATATTCGAGGTGGTATGAGCGACGCAAAAGCAACTCCACTTGCACACACACACACACACACACACACACGCACGCACGCATGCTCTCACACACACACGCACGCATGCTCTCTCACACACACACACACACACACACACACACACACACACACACACACACACACACACACACACACACACGCACGCATGCACTCACACGCACGCACGCACGCATGCACTCACTCACACACACACACACACACACACAAAAGTATGGCGTACGTGGCTCGAGGGAGAGCTGGCACAGCCGCTGCCCAAAGACAGTCAGCCGCTCGCTCTTGTCCAGAGCTTGAATGTGCTGGCGAAGAGAGTGTGAGTGTATGTGAGTGAGTGCGTGTGATTCCAAGTATGAGAGTGCATCATGAATGTAAAGGTATGAAATGAGTGTGGCATGTGAACGCACAATTTTCCAGCTCACAAAGACACATGTGTCACACCTTCAAGTACTGCACGGCGTGGCCGATTGCGCGACTGGACGGCGGCTCCGGTGCTTCGTTGAGGAAGGACTGGACAACATTGCGGTCATATGACATCAAGACATGAAAGGTGAGCATGTTTGCAGCAGTGTGAAACCCGCAACCCACAAACCGATCCAAGGCAGAAAGGAACGAACGAACGAACGAACGAACGAACGAACGAACGAACGAACGAACGAACGAACGAACGAACGAACAAGGAGCAACCAAACAACACAACACAACACAACACAACACAACACAACACAACATAACACGACACGACACGACACAATGCCATGCACACCTCGATGGTGGACGTTGTGAGGGTGCGGGCATTGAGACACAGGTCCTCCAATGAGACACGAAGCATCTCAGGCCGCTGGAAATCGTCCAGATACGAGAATGTTTCGCGACTGAACATGTGGTAGCACACGCCAGGCTGACACCGCCCGGCACGGCCGCGGCGCTGTGTGGAGTTCGCCTTTGACGCCCACACCGTCATCAGCGTGTTCACGCCCGTCACCGTGTCAAACGACTACACACCAGCAACAGGTACAAGGATGGCGGGGGGGGGGGGTTATGGAGACCGAGAGACATAGACAGAAAGAGAGAGAGAGAGTGTGTCGGTGTGTGTGTGTGTGCGTGCGTGTGTGCGTGTGTGTGTGTGTGTGTGTGTGTGTGTGTGTGTGTGTGTGTGTGTGTGTGTGTGTGTGTGTGTGTGTGTGTGTGTGTGTGCAAGTGTTTAGGGTGGGTGACGAACGCTGCACACAGGACACACACACACACGCACACACAAACACACACACGCACACACAAACAAACACACACATACACGTGCAGAAGTAGATGCACGTTTCGTTGGGTCACGGTCACATCACATCAAACGACATACCTTTTCCTTCATGCGACCGGAGTCAATGACGTACACGACATCATCAATTGTCACGCTCGTCTCCGCAATGTTGGTCGACAGCACAATTTTCACCTTGCCCTGTGTGGTGGAGATGGGGTGGCAGGAAAGGTGGCAGGTGAGGTGATTAGAAGAAGAGCAGACGCGGCTGGGCGGCGCTTTGTTTGCGTTTGTTCGTCAATTAATACAACAGAACGCACGTGCGTACCACGCTGAAAAGATGAGGAGGTGACCCATGTACGCACAACACACACACACACACACACACACACACACACACACACACACACACACACACACACACACACACACAATACAATACACAGTGCCCGGCACCTTGGGCGGGCGCTGGAATGCGGACTGCTGTTCGCGGAGAGTGCACGACGAGTGGAGACGAACAATCATAAACTTTTTGCCGATTCGGTGCTCCAAATCCCAGCACGCAGCACGCATTGCCGTGATCTCGGCATGGCCTGGTATCGTTGTGTGTGTGTGTGTGCGTGCGTGCGAGTGCGTGCGTGTGCGTGCGTGCGTGCGTGCGTGCGCGTGTGTGTATATGTGTGTGTGTGTGAATGATTGAATGCCGCGAAGTGTTAACAGCAGTATGCGCCTTTCTGTTTGCACGACAACGTCCACACCGAACAACAACATCCACACCTCAAACACACGTACAGGCGTGTTCACACCTGGGAGGAAGACGAGGATGGCCCCGGGTCCCTTTGGTTCGTCCTTGACAATCGTCTCAATCAAGTCCGCCATCAGCTCATAGTCCAGCTGGTGTTGGGCATGCATGCAGGCATCAATGGCCAACGTGCCATCAAGTGCCATGAAGATGGAGGCAATGTCAATGAGAGAGTAAGGTTGGGGTGTGCAGAAGCGACAAACAACTGTGTCATGCCAAAGGCGAGAGGGAGATGTAGCACGCGAGTGAACGCAAGCAAGCAGCTCCACACACACACACACACACACACACACACACACTGCACATGGCCAACGTTCGCACCTCCTCCACTTTTCCGAGTCCGCGACGCTTCTCATATGCGCTCACGAGCGCCTGCTCAAATCGTGCCTCAGGATCCTGAAAACACACACGCACACACACACGCACACACACACATATGGAGGAATATGAAAGCATACACGCGCGCGCAAACTGAGTGAGGGAAGTACAGAGACGCAGAGAGAGAGACAGAGACAGAGAAAAGCAATGGCATATAGCACACGCATTCACATGATCACAGACACAGACACATTACCACGTGCAAACACACGCGCTTGTGTCTCACCAGCGAGAGGGCGTCACCGGAAGTGTCATCGAGTTTCACAGCAAGGTCCTCAAATGCAAAGTTTCGGGCAAACTGTGCAGCCGTCCATCCGTTTGTCGTGCAAGCGGTGTCGTGGCGGGCACCTGATGCAATGCAATGCAACAAGGAACAAGAGCAAGCAAGTTAGGAGTGGTGTTGGCGAGAAGAGAGGGAGGCCAACACGCACAGCGTGTGCGTGTATCTGTGTGAATGTGGGTGCATGCGTATGCATGCGTATGTGTGTGTATGTAGGTGTATGTGTGTATGTGTGCATGCGTATATGTGTATGTGTGTAATTGCGCTGGAACAAGTGTGCCTGCAAGCACGAGCAGGGGCACTGCACCAAGGCGCTGCAGCATGTCGACGGTCTCCGCATCGCCTTTGGCCGCTGCCAACATCAGCACCGACACGCCCGTCCGTGAATGGCTGACAGGTGGAGACAAACACGCAGACGAGGCAGTAGTGGTGGTAGTCGGAGTGGTGGTGGTGGTGAATTAGATGAGAGAAAGAGGTACATGCAGTGCGATAGTGTCAGCGTCACGTGCATGTGCATGTGTATATACGTGTACATCTGTGCATGTGTGTGAACATCTGTGCATGTGCATGTGTACATATGTGCATATGTATGTGCATGTGCGTGCGTGCACATGGCATCGCATTGGTTGCGGACCGGTAGTTGACTGCGTCAACGTCGGTGATGACGAGATGGTGCATGATGCGTTTGACGTTGTCCGCGTACTCCTCGCCCTCCGTGTGCCACCCGTGCTCAATCAACTGCACGAAAAAGAGAAGCAGAGGTGAGTGAGCGTTGTGTGTGAGTGTTGTGTGTGTGTATGTGTGTATGTGTGTATGTGTGTATGTGTGCGGTTTAAGTTAAACAAAGCACTGGTTTGCACCTCGTCAAGTTCTGGAATGACATCAGGGCACGATGCCTGGTTCTCAATGTCGCCTGCGCAAATACACACACGCACATACACACAGGTGTGAGTGAACAGCGACTTGACACTGGCATCTTGCCATATCGCCCAATACAAACCACGACAGCAGCAGCAGCAGCAACAGCATCAGACTGCACATGTACGTGTGTGTGTATGGGTGTGTATGTGTGTGCGTGTGTGTGCGTGTGCGTGCGTGTACACATGTAAATGTGTACCTTGCGTCACGCCCATGGTTCGGCCGAGGCGACTGAGGACACCGCCGAGAAACACGTCCTCGACAGGGTACGCAATCCCCTGCATGTGCACGCGCGGGCACCCGCCAAAGTACTGTGGTGCATTGGCGCAGCGGCGGTGGTGGCGGTGGCGGTGGCGGTGTGTTGTTGGTGTTGTGGTAACGGAAGCAGGAGGTAAGTTGAGGGAGGAAGGGTGTTGGCAGGGCAAGTACGCACACACACATACACACATACACACATACACACATACGCACATACACACAGGCATACGCACACACACACACACACACACACACACACACACAAACACACGTTCGCAACAACACACGACTGACGTCTGTGAAGAGGTCTGAGTGGAGGGTAGCACTCATGAGGACGAGACGAATGTCCGGGCGGAGCTCGAGACATTTGCGCATACACACGAGCAGGAAGTCACTGGTGGTGGTGATGGTGGTGGTGGTGGTGGTGGTGATGGTGTGAGACATGGGAGTGCGATGCAGGTCTTGTGAACACACACACACACATACACAACACACACACACACACACACTACGTCAAGCTGTAGTGCAACAAACGAACAGCAGCCCCACCTGAATCTGTCTCGCTCGTGGATTTCGTCCAGGACGACGTGCGTGATGTTCTTGAGCGTGATGTCGGTGATGACGCGTTGCAGCAGCCACCCCGTCGTGCAGAAGGCAAGGTTCGTCTCAGCGCCAGCCTTGCTCTCTGTACAGCACCACGTGCACACAGACACAATGAGGGTTATGAAGCAACATATAGCACGCCCCCCCCCCCCACACACACACACACACAGAGCACAAGCTCACACAGAGCACAAGCACATACAGAGCACAAGCTCACACAGAGCACAAGCTCACACGCCACACCACACGCAAACAAGCACACCCACCACACACACAAATACTCACACCACACATACACATGCACAAATACGTCAGCCTACCGAGCCTGACGTGGTATCCGACAGTGCTCCCGAGTCTGCAGCCCCACTCCTGGGCCACGCGCTTTGCAACAGACATGGCAGATATGCGGCGCGGCTGGCTGCACAGGATGGTGCACGGCATGTCTCTGGTGTATGCATGCACGCACGGCGGGAGAACGAGGGATGAGGGGAGTTAGAGTTGTTGTTGCTGTTGTTGTTGTTGTTGTGTGTGTGTGTTAAGTGGGGGATGTTGCGTTGTGTATGACAGCTTGTTGCGTGAGACCTTGTGTGTTGTGTGTCCAGGTATAGGTGAAGTGATGAGAGAAACAGCACAATCACGGGATGCGCACAATGACGTGCGACATCGTCTCACCTTGCTGCGGCATCACGCATGACAAACTGCGGCACTTGCGTTGTCTTTCCACAGCCCGTCTCGCCACTCACAAGCACAACCTGCCACGACAGCACCGGGGGAGTGAGTGTGTGAGTGAGTGTGTGTGTGTGAGTGAGTGAGTGAGTGTGTGTGTGTATGTCCGTAATGCTGGTGGCACACATGATTCGAAACAACAGCAACATGTGATCACTTCTAGGCAACAACACCATCAGCCGCCACCATTTGCCACCGTCACGATTGAGATGACCTGTTCATGTTGCAGCAGCTCCAACAGTTCTTGCTCGTGGGCAGCAGCAGGCAGTCGCTGCTGGAACTCCTGTTGGTGTTGGTGTGTGTGCGTGCGTGCGTGTGTGTGTGTGTGTGTGCGCGGGCGCGTTTGGGGATGGAACAAGCAACAATGTGAGCGTTGAAACTACTGTTGGCGTTGCTGCTGCTGCTGTTGCTGTTGACTGTTGTGACACTCCATCAGTCAAAGACAAGTGGCTGCCTGCCTGAATGCATGCATGCATAATGTGTGCTCTCACCCTGAATTGCTTGGGCGTCTTGGGCTCTGGCGGCACAATGCACTTTGGGCCCGCGCGACTGCCCTTGGTCCTAAAGGCGAAGGAAGCGAAAGCCAGCAATGCCATGCACCGAGCAGTCGCACGTGAGAGAAGCATCATGGGACAAGATAAGTGGTGGGGAAGAGGGGGAGAGGTGTAAAGAAGCTACAGTGCCAGATACGCGAGCGGAGGGGCAGCAACTCTGGCGAGCGCCGTTGCTTACCACGTCTTCTTGTTTGAGGCGAGAGGCATCCCCTTTCGCACGAGGTCGTCATCGTCCTCAGATAAAGGCGGCGCGTTGACCGTGGCATAGGAGGCCACCTTTGGGTCCAGCGTGAGCATGTACTCGTGCTCTGCGGCCGCGTTCTTCGGCTTGCGGATCATGATGTGTCTACCAAGAAGGCAAGGAGTGGTGGTGGTGCAGTGTGGGCCCATATGGCGCACGGGAAGGGGGGGGGGGCAAGCCAAACAAACGGGCGTAGCCATAGGTGCAGAGGCGAGGCGAAGAGAGATGTGTTCATAGAAGTCACACAGTTGCGCACACACAGACACACATACATACACACACCTGCTGTCTCCTTTGCCGTAGCTCTTGGTGATGAAGCCATGTTTGGGGGCATAGTGGTGAATGTACTTGCGCTCGAAGGACGACAGCGAGGATGGGAACTGCAGCTCTGTGAATGCAAGAACAAGCGTGAGGGAGCAGCTGGTACCCATGCACACACGGGCTGAGGGGAGGGCTGCAGATATGCACACACACACATTCATACACACACACACATTCATACATACACACACACACACACACACACACACACACACACACACACACACACACACACACACACACACATTCATTCATGCACATGCGCATGCTACCTTCGCGATCGGACTCCGCAAACGTGGTGAACTCGCGTGAGATCCACTCCTTGAACCCGGCGCTGATCCCCTCCGTGGGCGGCCGACCACCACCACCACCACCTCCTCCTCCTCCACCTCCACCACCACCTCCTCGCTTCTTGCCCTTCCTCCCTGGTCCACGTGATCGTTGCTCCATCGCTTCTTGTCCCATGTCCTCTTGCTCGTGATTGCCTGCTTGCTTCGCCTGATCAGTGTCCACCCCCTTCTTCTTCTTGCTGCTGTAACTGCTGTTTCTCTCTTTTCCCTCCACACACAAATCCCCACAAGCGGTTACAGCACGCGACAACAGCCCATCATCATGGCTTCAAAGTGAGCACGCCTTGTGTTGTGTGCGCGTGCGTGCGTGTTGTGTGTGTGTGTGTGTTGCGCGTGAGTGAGTGCGTGAGTGAGTGAGTGAGTGAGAGTGTGAGTGTGTGAGTGTGTGAGTGTGTGAGTGTGTGAGTGTGTGAGTGTGTGAGAGTGCGTGTGCGTGTGAGTGTGAGTGTGTGAGTGTGTGAGTGTGTGAGAGTGTGAGTGTGTGTGTGTATGTGTGTGTTGCTTGTGGTCAAACAAGGCGAGGCTGCGCATGCTTGCACCCATCTGGCGTCGTGCTCACTCGAGCTTCGCTGTGCGTTGACGCTGCAGGGGCAAGGTGACCACGAGCAACGTGGAGACCAAGAGTCGCTCCTTCAAAGATGAGCAGGAGTACCTTGAGCAGCTCTCACCATGCTGCTGGCGCATCAAGAAGGGCTTTGTCCCCAACATGAGGGTACGTCTGTCTGTGTATCAGTGTGTGTGTGTGTGTGTGTGTGTGCATCACAGTGTGTGCAGCTTCTTCTTCTCTCACTAGCAGCACCTTCCACCACCAACCTCCACCCATCCTTGCCCCCTTGTTCCCCCTTCGCTGTCTCGTTCCTCATCACGATGCAGGTGGAAGGCCGCGTGTATGTCAACGAGGCGCTCAACTCACTCATGTTTGAGGAGCTGCAGCAACACAGCCAGGCGCATGGTGTTGGCGGCTTCCTGCCCGCGCTCAAGCAGGTGGCCAACGTGGCTGCACTTCCCGGCATCGTTGGCCACTCTGTTGGCCTGCCCGATATCCACGCCGGCTACGGCTTTGCCATCGGCAACATGGCTGCCTTTGACATGGACAACCCCGAGGCCGTCGTCTCCCCAGGTGTGTGTATGTGTGTATGTGTGTGTATCTCTGTGTGTGTGTGTGTGTATCTGTGTATCTCTGCGTGTGTGTTTGTTTCTGTGTGTGTGTGTGTGTGTTTGTTTCTGTGTGTACCTCTGTGTGTGTGTGCTTGTCTGTTACCTGCTCATCTCACCCTTCACAACATCTCACCCTTCACAACACTACCTCTGCGCTCACCTCACCTTCATTCCACCTCACCCTTCATCCATTCCTCCCCACCACCCGTGCAGGCGGCGTTGGCTTTGACATCAACTGCGGCGTGCGGCTGCTGCGCACCAACCTCGACGTCGGTGATGTGGAGCCCGTCAAGGAGCAGCTCGCGCAGTCCCTCTTCGACCACATCCCCGTTGGCGTCGGATCAAAGGTGTGTGTGTGTGTGCGTATGTGTGTGTGTACGTGTGTGCGTATGTGTGTGTGTGTACGTGTGTGCGCGTGTGTGTGTGCACGTGTGCGTGCGTGTGTATGTGTGTGTGTGATAGAGGAGCACGTGGAGGTGTGCGCTATGGCGTTCTTAAAACTCATGGCACTCTTACGTCACAACACGCGTGCCGCACAAGCTGTCACACATATATGAATCACACGAAACCTTCACCACCCACGCAACAACTCCTCACTCTTCTCCCCTCTTCTTCCCATTTCACTTTGTCCCCCCCCCCCAAATATGTCTGACCATTGTGCTGTTCAGGGCGTTGTGCCGATGACGGTGCAGGACCTGGAAGAGGCGCTGGAGATGGGCATGGACTGGTCTCTCCGCGAAGGGTGCGATGACACGCTGCTGCTGCTGCTGCTGCTGCTGGTGGTGGTGGTGCATTGATGCATGTGTATTGACATGCACCAGCACATGTCCTCATTTGTTCGCCCACTCACTTCTTCACACACACACTCACTTCTTCACACACACACACGCACGCACACACACACACATACACGAGTGCAGGTACGCGTGGCCGGAGGACAAGGAGCACTGCGAAGAGTACGGGCGAATGCTGCAGGCGGACGCGTCCAAAGTCTCCACGCGCGCCAAGAAGCGCGGCCTGCCACAACTCGGCACCCTTGGTGCCGGCAACCACTACGCAGAGATCCAGGTCAGGTGGAGGGCCTGTGTCTGTGTCTGTGTCTGTGTGCATGTGTGTGCTTCGCAACTAAAGATATTCTCACAAGCGGCGCTCGTGCCCATGGTCCTCCTCACCGCCACCACTGTCTCGCTACAGGTCGTGGAGGAGATTTACGACAAGCACGCTGCCAACAAGATGGGCATCAACAGGACTGGACAGGTGCGTGCGTGTGCATGTGTGCCTTTGATGTGTGCCTTTTGTGCATATGTGGTGTGTATGTGTGTGTGTGTGTGTGTGTGTGTGTGTGTGTGTGTGTGTTAATCGTGCGCCGTATTGTCTGACCAATCACCTGACCCATCTCTGTCCAACAACCACCACGCCACCACATCACCACCGCCGCCACCACCACACACCTCGGCGTGCAGGTGTGTGTGATGATCCACAGCGGGTCGCGCGGTCTGGGCCACCAGGTTGCCACCGATGCGCTCACGGCGATGGCCAATGCCATGAAGCGTGACGGCATCGAGGTCAACGACAGACAGGTCCGGCCACACAGCGTGATGTGTGCGTATGTGTGTGTGTGTGTGTGTGTGTGTGTGTGTGTGTGTGTGTGTGTGTGTGTGTGTGTGTGTGTGTGTGTGTGTGTGTGTGTCGTCAGCCTCACTTCAAGCCATTGTACGTCCTTCCGTCCTCCTACTCTGACCTATTCACTCCATATGCCACCACCACCACCACCACCACCGTCGTCACCACCACCACCATCTTCGCCAGCTTGCGTGTGCGCGCATCGGCTCTGAGGAGGGCCAGAACTATCTCAAGTCCATGGCAGCCGCTGCCAACTACGCCTGGGTCAACAGATCAACCATGACCTTCCTCGCCCGACAGGTGAGGAGGTCGGGGTTGTGTGAGCGCATACGTGGTGTGCGTGCGTGTGTGTTGTGTGTGTTGTGCGTGCGTGTGTGTCTGTGTGTGTGTGTGTGTGTGTGTGTGTTATGTGTGCTGTGTGTGCGTGCGTGTGCGTCTGTGTGCGTGCGTCTGTGTGCGTGCGTGCGTGCCTTTCTGTCTCTCCATGTCTTTCTCTGTTTCTCTGTCTCTCTCTGTCTTTCTTTGTCTTTGTCTATGGCGTTGCTTGCGTTGTCTCTGCACTTGCCACTGTGAGCGCGCTCCCCTGACCAGCAGCATCAGCTCACATGTCTTCCCGACACCCCCACCCTCTTCCACCACTTGTGCCCAGGCCTTTGCAAAGCAGTTCAAGACGACACCAGAGGATCTCGACATGCATGTCATTTATGACGTGTCACACAACATCGCAAAGGTGCCATCCATGATGCATTGCATGCGTTTTCAATCTGCATTGATGTTACTGCGTTCAAGCACCCGTCCCCCCCCCCAAGTGCACCCACAACATACGACACTCAATGCCACCACACACACGCACGCACACACACACACACACACACACACGCCAGGTTGAGAAGCACTGGGTTGACGGGAAGCTGCGCAACTTGCTCGTGCACCGCAAGGGCTCCACCCGCGCGTTCCCACCGCACCACCCACTCATCCCCGTCGACTATCAGGTCCGCTGCTGTGTCATTGCGTCGAGACAGTGGTTTGGCCTCTGCTTCTGTTGTTGTTCGCCCTCGTGTGTGTGTGTGTGTGTGTGTGTGTGTGTGTGTGTGTGTGTGTGTGTGTGTGCGTCTGTGTGTGTGTGTGTGTGTGTGCGTCTGTGTGTGTGTATGTGTGTGTATGCTTATGATTTTTTTGTGTGTGTGTGTATTTTGTTTGTACTGGGCTCCTTTCCCCACTATTCACGTCCTAATTTCGCCTTCCCACCATTCTGCCTCCTGCCCGCTTCGTTGCACCAGTTGATTGGCCAGCCTGTGCTGGTTGGCGGGACAATGGGCACGTGCAGCTACATCCTAACGGGCACGGAGCAAGGGTTTGCGGACACGTTTGGCAGCACGTGTCACGGTGCCGGCCGCGCCCAGTCGCGCGCCAAGTCCCGCCGCACCCTCGACTACCAGGATGTGCTTGCCAACCTCAACAAGAAAGGCATTGCCATCCGCGTTGCCTCGCCCAAGCTGGTACAGGAGGAGGCGCCGGAGTCGTACAAGGACGTGAGCGAGGTGGTTGACACGTGCCACGCAGCCGGCATCAGCAAGAAGGCCGTCAAGCTCAAGCCCATTGCCGTCATCAAGGGCTGAGATGGGGAGAGGTGGACGTGGTGTTCTCGTGTTTCTTGGTGGTGGTGGTGATATGCATTTTTTGCTTGCTTTGGCCCTTCTTCACTTGTATCGCGCGTTTGAGTATGAGAGCGTATATGAGAGAGAGAGAGTGTGTGTGTGTGTGTGTCCGTATGTGTGTGTGTGTGTGTGTGTGTGTGTGTGTGTGTGTGTGTGTGTGTTGTGTGTGTTGTTGTG